AGTAGTTTTTCTGAACTGAAAAACCTGAGCTCCAAAGACCATCATGGTGAGAATAAGAAAACCATCAAATGCATTTGTGGAGAATGGGGCGTGGCCGAGCGTCGAATGCGGGACGGAGAAACCGGTCTGGCTGAACCAGCGGGCTAAGTAGCGGGATAATGTTCACCTGTGCCTTGTTTCTGCCAGCCTACTTATATGCAATCTCTTCCTTCAGTAGGCAGCAGAGCCCGGAGAGAGAAAGAGACCACTGGAGGCGTGAGAGCTGAGCGAATCAGATAAAAAGTGGACAGAGAGGACTGAAAAGTCCCAGCGAGCGTCTTGTCTTTGTGGGCTGAAAAGCCGAGTATTTTTTTTTGCGTTGTGAATAAAAGAGCTCTCCGTCCTCACACCTGCCCCCGGCGTCTTTCCTCCTCCCACCACTAACACTTCCACAGTGGTGCCGAAACCCGGGAGGAGGATGCCAACGCACCAAGGGAGTCTCCACGGCAGAAGAAGAGGCCATCAAGACCCTGGTCCACCTGCACCTGGCCGGCTCCCACTGTAGCATGGCATGTGCTACCCCGGGCTCAATAAGGACGCTGGAGGCAGGGTTCAGGGTTGCAGCAGCCATATTTATTTACAAAAACACACAAAGCAAATAAGCAAACACCAAACAACTAGAACTATGCTGGCCACTTTTCAGTGGCTTAAGCTGGCTAGACTTTTCAGTCTTCTTCAAGCTTTTCAGCTCTTCAGTGCTACCACTACTACTACTACTACTACTACTATTGCTGCTGATGCTGCTGCTGCTCGGCCTCCTCTCTCTTATGCTGTTCCCTCTCAGCTCCTTCAAAAGGCGCTCATGCTGCCAGCCAGATCATCATCAGCTGGCTCTCATTAAGGGCAGCGTGAGCACCTGAGCCGAGAGGGAATGAGAGCTCGTGAATCAAAAAAGTGAATCAAATATTTTTTTTTAATTGCTCTCATAATGCATGCACTAGATGGTTAATTAACAGAAACCAATTAAACTGCTCAAAATACTGGGAAGCTTTTTGGCTAAGAGACTCTTCAGTCAGCAGGACTTATACAAATTCACTGATCTTAACTCAATTTCCTTAAGTTACTAAAGCATCTTACAAGAAGTAGCACTAGATTTGCATTAGTAAGTTTAACAGATGAGCAAAGCAAAAAAAAAAGGTTTAAAAAAATTGCAGTATAAAACGAAAAAAGAAATAGTGGAATTCATAGAAATATTGAAATAATGAAAACATTGATTTTATTTAGTAGAAATGACATGAGTTTATTGACAGCTATATTTTGATTTGAATCCCAAGGTTAAGGAATGTTATCTAACTAATATGAAGTAAATACAGAACTGTGTCCAGATGTGGGTTGGGTTGGTTGGCACACGGTCATCCTGCATAAGTGTGTGGCTATTGTTACAAACGTCATCGCTGCTGGAACAAAACCGTGCATTTCCAAAATGGTAACTTTACAGAACAAGGCAAAAACACTTAACTTTTAATGTACATCAGTATAACCAGACTTTTTTTCCAAGTAATTTGGACCATTTTCGTTTTTATACCCAGTGTAAAAAACAGCTGGCAAGTTTTAAAAATTTAAAATTAAAAATGGAAATATAAAGTTTAGTTCAGAGTATCTTGTTTTGTATTAAATGCTGTATACATACCAATTAATATCAAATAACATCAAATAACACAACTAGAATGTATTAATAATAATTTTACCTTAATTTTTAACCAGTTGTTTTTGTCTCAGGAGGAAAATAACACAACTTTGAACTCAAACTGCTTATGTGAGAAATATCAAATACAAATACAAAACTTTAAGTATTATTTTATGAAGGGTTTCTCTACTTTCACTCAAGTACAGAGGTTTTTTACCTCTGTCTACCAAAGTTCAGTATAAGCCACTGATAAAACAAATTAAACATTCCTGACATTTAGTTGATTCAAAAATATTATTTTGCCATTTAGTATTCATATTCATGGTTTGGGTTATATTAAGAGCTCTGATTATTTAATTGTTGCTCACTTTCTTGAAGTGATAGTTCTTCAATGTTGTGCCAACCATCCCTATAACATGTTCCAACCAACTCCATGTTGGGGCTGGTTGGCACAAGTGCCCAACATGCATTAAGTCATGAAAGCTTTAATTCCGGGAGATATTTTCTGACAGTGAAATTGTCTGTTTTTAGCTTAGATATTTAATTTATATTTAAAGGTAGTTAACATAATGTATGGGATATTCCAGGGATATTTGGCAGAGAATGCTAACTGCCAGTCAACCCCTTTAAATGCTCTCCCCTACATGTTTATGAATTAATATTATTATTATCTGGGTAAATCAAATTTGACCTGATAACAGAGTAAGAATGTGCTGTGCCCAGACTTTCTAAGATCATTGTTTCGAAACCTGTACAACTGTACAAATGTAGGTCTGTGTTGAGGCTTCTAAACAGTACAGCATTCACCTCATAAAGGAATAACCAGTACAGTTTTTATGAAGACCCAAATAGTTAATTTAAACCAAATATTCTGCCCACAGAATGCAGATGTAACTTATGTACTTATACATGCAGATCAGAGCAACTCTAAGTGACAGGAATTGAAGAATGGAATGGAGACATAGTGCCATTGTAACCTAAATGATATTGATCTCCAAGTACCAAAAACTTATCATATATGACATTATTGATCCTATCCACCGATTTTTCAAACATTCTGCATAATTAAACCATTTAGATGTAAACAAAGCTATGCAGAATGCCTTAAATTTCCTCATTTTAGAGAAACTTACAGAGTCAGAATTTTTCACAGTGGTGATGATGGGAACCAGATGCCTGGATTAATAAATTAATGTCTCTAAAAGTTAATACACAAAAAGGTTACAAATACCACGCCTGACACCTCCGATATTGTTTTATTATAGTTTTGAGTAAGGCTGTAACTACACCAAGGTCTGGACCTCGATAGTTTCAGCAGAGTTTTTTCATGTATCGCCATTCATGAGACTCATTAGCCACGTTTACATGCAGCCTAATTATCCATTAATAATCTGACTAATAGCTCAATGGGAATAGAATACGTCCATGTAAACACCTCAATCGGAATAGACTAGTATGATTGAGACCATTCAGAATACAGGTTCTATCTGATTGAATGAGGTGGGTAATCCTGTAAATAATCAGTTAAATAGAAGAATAATATCCATGTAAACGCCTGTATCTGATTACATTCCCTATCGGAAAGTTTAAGTCCGTTCTGATCATGTTCGTCATGTCATAGTGAAATTTTATACCGTTCAGCATGGCGGAGCAGAAACTGGTCTGCAGAGGAGACGAAGTTTATGCTCTGATCTTTAAAAGACGGCGGTGGGACGGACGTCCAGCTTATGTGTCTCAGAACACGACGTCTTCCTCTCGGCCTTCTTTAATAAGGACATGTGAAGGACGTTTTCCTGAGTCTGACATTGTTTTAAAGCAATTAAAAACACAAGCGCTGCTCACTGCTGCTCGTCTCACTCTGACTGGACTCACGTGATGCTCGTTGTCATGGTAACGTCTACACTAAGCGGTTCTCTACACATGTGCATCATTTTGGATCGGATTACTTGTAGTGAGCATGTAAACATGTAGTGCACATGAGATTTTAATCAGATTGTTGAGTAGAGTGAGAATTTAAACACCTCAGTCTTCATCTATAATCGGAATGTATTTAATAAGATTGGCAAAAATCTTTGCATGTGAACACAGCCAATGTAGAAAGAGCACAGTTGTTGCTAATGTGGTAGTTTCCTACTCAGGGGCGAAGCCACAGATATCACAGGCCTACCAAATCAGAAATAAGAATTAAGAATTGAAGAATGAAAGTTGTATGTTTCCTCTTCATAGCATACCAACAGCATGAGGAAGTTTGGTGTTAGCTTGCTAATTGATGGCATGTAACATAATTATGAAACCATCATGCGTTAGGCTGTATTGCTGTATTGCGTAACTGTACATACCTTCCTGTTTGATGGGGTTTAGTAGAGACAGATTTTTATAACGTACACTTGCTGAGCACTTCATTAGATACCTTGTTTCTACACTCACTGTCCGTTTTATCAGTTCCACTGACCGGATAGTTTCACTCTGTAGTTCTGCAGTTACAGACTGTAGTTCATCTGTTTCTCTGTGTACTCTGTTACTCTTTTCTTCAATGGTCAGGACCCCCACAGAGCAGGTACTATTTGGGTGGTGGGTCATTCTCAGCACTGCAGTAACACTGATGTGGTGGTGGTGTGTTAGTGTGTGTTGCGTAAATTTTTAAACACTATTTTCCCATCATTATCATTCCATATAAACACACTAATGTAGGTTCATCGGTGGTTTTCGATAGTAAATAAAATGTCTATATTTGTGTTGTAGTCATGGTGACCCCTGGTTCCTTTCACCACCACTGTAAAGAAATCTGAACCATTTCACACCAAACCACTCTGAAACACTCTGTTTACAGTCTCAATGATTGAATGGCATTACCTTTAAAAAACACAGTTTATTGTTTTTACGATGTGTTTTAATAAAGCATTAGATAACATGATGTCGTCTCAGTGTCACAGCAAGGCTCAGACATTGGCTGCTATTCACAAAGCAAGAGATCTCAGAGATAAGAGCCCATCAGCAGTTTCATACAAATGCTGATTGTCATCTGTGACACTGAGAGAATTCAGTTCATTATTATGCAGGTATGACTTTCTTATGAAACCTAATTATACCCTTAGATGCATATCATTATGGACTTCCTTGTAAAAAAATAGCCCTACATCTGGTGACCAGGATGAACCTTGTAAGGAGTGGCACTTCCACATAAATTTTCATGAGGTGAATCTTCACAAAAGAATGTCTCCTCACCAAACAAAACACATACCTGAATGTAAAGTCCCAAATAGCTCATTATATATGGGTAACCACCCACTATATATTTTTGATTCGCTGCGTTGCCTTGTCACTTTGACACAGCGCAAGCATGCATGACAAGGAGAGGCAGAAGGAGCTCAGGTAGGCTTCTGTTTCAGTCTTTGCTTGTGTTGATTTTGCCATAACTTGTTTAATGATGATCAAAAGCCACATCTTGCTTTGTCAGTTAGAAGTTATGCAATTTTTAAAAAATCTATTTGTTTATTAGGTAATGTAGAACAGTGTTGTGAATTGTATATTTCATAAATATAATCATAAATTAAACAGGAATTCTTTTTTTTCTAAATGTTTATAAATAGTTATTGAGATGTAAACAATGTAAACAATATAATTCAGAGTGGTTTGGTGTGAAATGGTTCAGATTTCTTTACAGTGGTGGTGATAGGAACCAGGGGTCACCATGACTACAACACAAATATAGACATTTTATTTGCTATGAAAACCACCAGTGAACCTAAACTTCTCTTCTGAGTGTTTATATGTAAAGTTGATGATGGTAAATCTGGAAAAAAAAGTTTTTTAAGAACTAGTTTCTCCGAATGATCCTTCACAAAGAATGGAGTTTTATCATAAAAACAATGTTATCAGGCAATGTATTCATAACCATTTTATGTAATAGCTTTCTGTAAGGGAGCTTTTAGAGGTGGACATCTGGTTCCTATCACCTCCACTGTGAACAATTCTGACTGTAAGTTTCTCTGGAACGGAGCATTTCACACAAAACCACTCTGAACGACTCTGTTTGCATTGTTGCCTTTTAATGATGCAGAAATCTTGAAAACATTTGGTGGATTTCTCACTTAAACATAGATGTGGCTAGACTACAGTTTAAAACGGTTAAGAACTCCGTGTGGTGTCTTGTAGGCTCAGGCAAGCCTGGGATGCTGCTAAGGAGGTGCCCATCATTCAGGATGAGCAGAAAGTTCGGAAGCGCTTGAGTATCATCCAGTTCGTCACCTGTACCTTTGTAGGAATCTTAGTATTTGCACTGGCCTTCTTCAGCAAAGTGAGTCTTTAAGCATGTTTATGATAATGCTGACCACATGTTAAAGTCACCGATCAGTGATAACATTATGTCCACCTCCTTGTTTCTACACTCAGGACCCCCACAGAGCAGGTCAAATTTGGGTGGTGGGTCATTCTCAGCACTGCAGTAACACTGACGTGGTGATAGTGTGTTGGTGTGTGTTGTGCTGGTACGAGTGGATCAGACACAGCAGTGCTGCTGGAGTTTTTAAAACACTGTGTCCACTCACTGTCCACTCTATTAGACACTCCTACCTCGTCAGTCCACCTTGTGATGTGAAGTCAGAGGCGATAGCTCATCTGCTGCTGCACAGTTTGTGTTGGTCATCCTCCAGTACTTCATCTGTGGTCGCAGGACACTGCCCACAGGACGCTGTTGGCTGGATATTTTTGGTTCTCAGTCCAGCAGCACTGCTGTGTCTGATCCACTCGTACCAGCGCAACACACACTAACCCACCACCACCACATCAGTGTCACTGCAGTGCTGAGAATGATCCACCACCCAAATAGTACCTGCTCTGTGGTGGTCCTGACCACTGAAGAACAGGGTAACAAAGTATGCAGAGAAACAGATGGACTACAGTCTGTAATTGTAGAACTACTGAGTGAACCTTTATGGTCAGTGGAGCTGATAAAGTGGACAGTGAGTATAGAAACAAGGAGGTGATTTTAATGTTATGGCTCACTGTAGTATATGCATTGCTTAAAGGACTATACCAATGGTAATATGTATCTATTTATCATTTCTCATCTCTCTGATTATAGACATCTCTATTGTTACTAATAAGCCTCTCCAACAAAGCCTCAAAAACCATAAACAACAAACCATATGCCCTGCTTTTCATCGGGTGCCTTTTAATTGCTCCAAGTGTTTTAACACTGATGAAGAGCGTATGGAAGATTACGTTTAAGGACTCAAAAACGCCATCGAAACAAACTCTCATATGGGTGAGTAGCAAATTCAATCACTTTATGTTTTTTAATGTTATATGACAGATTGTTATACATCAATTTTTTCAGCAGGAGTGAGTTATTTTAAGATGTAACTTTTTTTACAGCTTAGAGACTTTCTGATTATAGTAATGATCTCTAATGTAATATAAAAGATTGCACTGTTTGTGGCTCCCAAATTGGTGCACCCATCTAAGAGCTGGTCCTATTGCTGGGAGACCGTCAGTTACATCCCAGTGATCCCGCAGCCAACCATGGCTGGGAGACCAAAAGAGCATAATTAGCCTCGCTCCGTCTAGATTAGTAGCACGGTCAACGCTTTCCTCCCGTTAATGAAAGGAAATCCAGTTTTTCAAGGATAAATAATATACTGCATCTATTTATGCATAATATAATCTAATATATCTATTTATGTATGGATTTTTTCAAATCATTCACCTTGAGTGGTGATTTTCACATTGTCACAATTGTAATACAAAGCATTATGGATATTAATTCCATGCAATCATTTTCAAATCATTTGTAACGCTGTTTATCACTCCGGGCACATTGCTTTATTTTATTTTTACAGCTTCTTATTATTTAATATGATTATTTATATCATTATCGCTGCTTTTGAAAAAGAAACTTGCATCTCCACAATGCTAACTTTGCAGGAGAAGGAAAAAACATACTTTACTTTTAATGTAAGTCAATGGAACCAGATGTTTTTCCAAGTCATTTTGTGCCATTTATTTTGGTCCATTCAGCATGAAATTTACACAAAATGTAAAGGATAATAAACATTTTTTAATTATGTCAGAACCTGCAAAATGATAAAAATGGAGATAGAAGGTTTTGTTCTGACAGCAGTGATACATTTGTGTGAAGTTGCACAGAACTAGCACATTAGAATCATGTACTACGCATACACACCCATCACACTCGGGACTCTGCAGTAAACATTGACCACTAACATTCATTTATACCACCTCCTGCTCAGTTGCACAGCGTTATGTTGCTCTTTCACTTTGCACATTTTGCACATTGCACTTTACTTCCAACAATGCCATGTGTACATTGCACATTTCATATCTTCATTGTGTTTATAGTGTATATTTCATAGATGGATATTTTGTTGGATATATTTTCTGTGATATTGTTCTTCTATTTGACTACTGTTCTTATTACCTTATTGCTTTATGTGAGCGGGCAGTTATCCAAGCATTTTACTGTTGGTTGTTCCGGGTATGACTATGTATGTAACAAATAAAACTTTGAAACTTGTTACACACTTATATGCCACTATACTGATTTTTTATTTTTGGCATCAATGCCAAACTTGGGTAACTACTGAGTGAAACTGGCAATGATTACATAGTCTCAGTGGCCTGTTTGGCAAGTGGTCCATTTTTTCAGTTTCTAATTACTTATCCCTGTGTCTGACCTTCTCTCTGCAGGTTGTCTTGGTGGAATCTTTGGTTGCTCTGGGCTCAGCTGTCCTCACCCTGGTCTGCATGCCGAATTTCGACATTCTGACTAACGTGATGCTTCTGAGCGGCATTGCCACATCATCAGCTGTCCTGCAGGTGATTGCAAATATGGTTGCGCATGGAAGGAGGCAATTTATAGGAACCTCTTCGCTCTCTGTAGTCCTCCTGATCGCCGGCTTCACCTTCTTCGCCGTAAACTACCTTAGAGAGGGGAGCAGAAGGCAGGAGATGGCTCTGTTTGTGGGACTGGCAATAGGAAGCACTTTCCTGGTCTCTCTGAGCTGGTGGGAGAACTACGCCATGCTTTTCCAGATTACCTTCTTCAAGAACACCATCCGGGACATCAAAAGGTCACGGAATCTGGTCGGCATCGTGTCCAGTGTGGTGCGAATTGCCGTGATCTCCAGCGTCCTGGGAGCATACGTGAAACTCTCAGGACAAGAATGGTCATCAGTCCTGTCGATCAGTTCATCCACCAAGATTGTCGTCCTCAGCCTCTTCGCAATCCAGGTCCTGTCGTCAGCCCTGTGCCGCTGGGTGGCTGTGTTGGCCTGCAAAATGCACGCAGTCCGTCGCAGTTTCGTCCTTCCACTGATCTTTGTATCTCCGGCTGCCCTGGCTGCCTTCACTCTGGCCGTCTGGATACCCTATCTGCAGTTTAATGATGGTGATCCTTCCAATGGCACATTTGCCAAATACTGTAGCGTCTTTGTTCATGTCAAAGGATCAGGGCTAGGCATCATGAGGCAGATGGTGACAGATTTGACCCTCAGAGTCTGCGGCCAGACTGTCTACTCGGAGGGATCGGTGGTAGGCTACGCTCTGCTGGGCAGCTCCTTGGTCAGCTGGTGGGTTGGACTGGTGCTCTGCACACTCTACATCTGGTTCCTGGGCACGAATCGCATTGAGAGGACAAAAGATCTGTTTGTGCGCAGCCTGTACGAGGCAGCGTTCATTGACCAGTCTATGCTGCTCAACACCAGGTTTGAGGTGGTGCACCAACTAAGGCATAACAGGTACTGTATTTAGGCCGCGTTCACATTACTAGGTTGAAGTGGAACAAATCAGATTTTTTGCCCTAATGTGATTCAGATCTGATCTCTTCAAATCCAACCTGAGGCACTTTCATATGTGGTCCTAGATCGGACACTATCTAGTATGTGAGCAAAAAATTGGATTTGGCTTGTAATATGAATGTAGCCTTAGATATGGGTGAAGCTGAATTATATTATATTTTAATATATATAATATATTTTAACTTGAATATGTATCGCGTTTAACCCAAATGTACAAAAATCAAAGCAGAAACCTAGAAAGAGAAGCTCTGAAAGTTGCTCAGTCATGGAATTATAGGTGATGATTAATTGCCAAATATATAATATATAATATAAACAGACCTACTGTTCTGAAATACTTTGGGCATGTAAATGATGTGGCCGTGGATCTTTGTCATATCTGTATATTGATGTTCTTAATTATGTATCGCACTTTGGTAAAATGTTTTAAATGTGCTTTATAAATAAATTTGCTGACATTATTTATTTATGGCCTTGTCTTTTCAACAGTAAAGAGAAGGAGAAGATGACCATCTACCTCTGCGCAACCATGTGGCATGAGACCTATGACGAAATGATGAAGATGATCATCTCGATGTTCCGGTAATAATAACACAGGGGAGATTGTTGTTGTGTTCAAAACACAAAGAACCAGAGGTCAGAGGTTTTCTTTGTCTTCCAGGCTGGATAAATTTAGACCGAAGAAAAACCAATTCAGTGATGTTGCCTTCGAGTCTCATATCTACTTCGACGATGCCTTCAAGCAAAAAGATGGCGAGCGGCACGTAAACGAGTATGCAGAGACTCTGGCGGAGGTCATCAGAGAGGTTTATATGTAAGTGCTCAGGACATTATGTAGATGTCTTAAAGTGTACAACCAAATGGTTCCGTCAAAGAATAGGTTGGTTTGAAATGCTTGGTTATAGATAAACCTGATTTGGATTTCTGTGCAGTGGTGATGAGATCATGAGATCAGGATATCTGTAACACAAATATGGTCTTTTTATTTATCATCCAGAACCACCAGTGAACCCAGTGAGGCCCAAACCTGTAAAAACTCTAATCTCAAAACTATCATAAAGCAATCAGGCAACATGTTTATGACCAATTTCATCTATCCATTTTGGTGGTGGTATCACAACTTGATACAATACTTCATAGAAAACGATTTGCAAATAAAAGCAAGTGAAATGCAAATAAAAGCAAGTAAAATGCAAATTAAAGCAAGTGAAATGTAAATTAAAGTAGGTAAATTGCAGTGTTATACCTGGTGTTAGCTTATTTAAAATTTAAATTTAAATGAAGAACTGAAAGTATGTAAAGTTGCAGGGCAGCTCTTGAGCAGTAAACAGTGCTGCATGTGCTACCTGTAACAGTTTTACTTTGTGTCCACAGCATATTCAGTGACGAGGGCAAAGGCAGTTTCAGGGAGAGAAAACCTCTCCCTGAGCAGAAGCTCATCCAGACGCCGTACGGCTGTCGCCTGCAGTACACGCTTCCCCATGGGAACACGCTGATTGTTCATTTTAAGGATAAGCACCGAATTCGCCACAAAAAGAGATGGTCTCAGGTGAGCTCATGTAGTTGTCTTCGCCAACACTGAACACTAGGGGCAGTACAGTCACTCCTCCTGGAACACTAAAGATCCTAAAGACCTACAGTACTGTGAGAAAAGTCTGAGACCACTCAGGTGAGACCACCTACGAGTGTTAGGTCACCAGGAGCAGGGCTGCGTACTGTTGCTAGCAAAAATCTTCTTGATTATAGATGTTTCTGATGATGTGTTTTGAAGGTGGGTGGAAACTTTTAAAACTAAAGCTGTTTTGGGGTGGATTTTAATTTTTTTTTTCCACTAGCTATCAGTTCCAAAAGGAAAAGTCAGCTAGCTGACATTACTGTTACCAGCTGAAAGCTAATGTTAGCAAGCGATCTAGATACCTTCACTCAGTATGGCTTGTTTTCCGTGAAAGGGTAAAACATTGCTGAACAACAACATTAAAGTGATACAAAATCGTGAATTGAGCCGATGAGGCTGAGGGATGTGAAGATGAGCTACAGAATACTGCATAACACACCACACAGTTTTAAAGCCCCTTTAAGTCTTTTTTTTGTCATGATATTTCCTTATAGGCATTTGATTTACACTCTGGTTTTCCCCCTACAGATTATGTACCTGTACTACCTCCTGGGTTGGAGACTGAATAGGCCACACTTTCAGATGAATGAGGAAGGGGAGGAGGAATTGGCGAGCATTGAAGAGCGCCTGAGGGTACGGGCAGCTTTACTTCAGGAAATCGGTGCACAGTGCACATCATTGCATAAATCACTTTCATAAGCCTGAACTTTGTGACTGATTGTGCTAGATCTTTATGTTTTCTGTCCAGAAAGCCAAAGAGAACACCTACATTCTGGCACTAGATGGCGACACTGATTTCCAGCCTTCTGCTGTCATGCTCCTGGTGGACCGACTCAGGATGTACCCGGAGGTGGGCGCCGCCTGTGGCAGGATTCACCCCACTGGCACTGGTAAGAAACATACTGTGTTAAGCATGAGCAACCATATAAACTGTTTAAGACTGTACAAAGGTCTCATGCCACACTTGCTACTTTAAGCTGCACTTAATGCCGACACAGGCATTCAATTATAATTGAACAGCCTGTAGTCTCCATAGAAAAGCGTTGCCAGCTGGATGCTCTGGAGCAGCCACACACGAAGGTCAGAGCTGGTTTATAAGGAGCCTGGTCTCTTCCTATTTCCCCCGTTATATCAAAAACAGGACTGCTAAACAGCAGAGGGCGCCCGCGAGGGAGTCCTCAATGAATGGTTGTGAATGGAGCCAAACAGCTAAAAGTGAAATGTTAAAATAGTATCTAATCATTTGCCCAGAACTTTCCTTTAATTTCCTTTAAACACACCGGTTTGTTTCCTTTTTTCTACATGAAATGTATTTCAGGCAGCAGGATGCTAACATTACTGCTACTGTGCTGATTGGTGGGCAAGTGGTGCAGCTCATTGGCTGTTCAGGTTCACCGACATCATGCACGTACATGTACGCTGTTTTAAACTCCTTTAACTTTAAGAGTTTAAAAGCTCTTAAAAATATAACAGTGGTGTTAAAATGTTTTATGCTGTTCTGTATTCAGGAAATGAATGCAGTCTTTTACAATAAAAATGTTGAAGCATTTATAAACTATGATTTTGTTCAAATAATATATTAACCCATTCATTTTGGACTTGCTCAGGAGTGCCCTCTAGTGTTTGAGAAACCTGGAAGACATTACAGAGTGGTAATTCTCCCCTCTACAAGATCTCTGCCTAAGGTCACAATGCTCAATGCCAAGCGTGACCTAGAGGGGCATAAAGCCCCCCAGCTTTAGGCTGGGATGAGCTGGAGTAACCCAGAACTGACCATCCAACATCAGTACCTGACCTCACTAATACTCCATCAAATCCTCACAGCAATGCAGCAATGTTCTCCTATATCTAAGCCTTCTCAGAAGAGCTGTTACGGCAGCAAAAGAGGCATAAAGTTAGCTTAACCCTTAGCAGATATCATCTCGAGGCAGCCCAGTCTTTGTAGCTGCCGTCCGGTACCTGGTTCAGCTAATCAGTCCTTTGTTAAATTAAATCAGGTGTGCTGGATGGAATTTAACAAATCCATGCAATGGCTGGAATGCATTGAGTAGAAGGGGAAGCAAAGCTGTTCTTCTGACTACCTAAGTTCTTTATACTGACTGTGCTTGGTGTAGTGTAGTGGACAATGCCGCTGCCATCCACAGAGCAGACTGGGGATAGATTGGCCACACAATGCTATACCAATAAGAGTCCTTGGGCAAGACTCCCAAAGCCCCCATCTGTAACGTGACGACACTGTGCGTCACTCTGGATAAGTGTGCATAAATACACAGTCGAGTCATATTATTATGACCCCCAGCTAATATCCAGAGTAACCGCCGTGTGCAGCACGGACAGCAGCTAGACGGGCTGGGTGTGACTCAATAAGGTCCTGGTAGGTTGTCACATGGAGCCATGCTGACTACAGTGTATCCCACAGCTGCTGGAGGGGGCGTGGGGGAGGATCCGTAGACGATCGAGGTGGTCCCACAGATGCTCAACTTGGTTCTCTGGGGAATTAGGGGGCCAGGGTAGTACTCTGAAGTCTTGGTCATGCTCTTCCAACCAATGTCGGACATTTTTAACCATGTGACGTGTCGCATTATCTTGCTGGAAGATCCCATCTGCCCCAGGGAAGACGATCAACATGTATGGGTGTACTTGATCTGCAAGGATGGATTCAGAGTCCCTTCCACATGGATGAGTGGGCCCAGAGAATACCACAAAAACATTCCCCAGACCAGAACGCTGCCACACCACCTTGTGGACATGAAGTGGTCATTATAATGTGACTCGACTGTGTATAAATGTAATACTTGTTTTACTCGTGCTGCAGGGCCGATGGTGTGGTATCAGAAGTTCGAGTATGCTGTCGGTCACTGGCTCCAGAAGACGGCGGAGCACGTGTTCGGGTGTGTGCTGTGCAGTCCCGGCTGCTTCAGCCTGTTCCGGGCTGCAGCGCTCATGGATGACAACGTGATGAAGAGATACACAACCAAACCGTCTGAGGCTGCACACTACGTACAGTATGACCAGGGTAAGCATGGAAGCTTACCTACGTAAACCTTTTGAGCATGTAGCACTGGTGCTGGAAGGTCTACAAGTCTTGTAGCCCAAATTGCAGAATTGTAGCACCGAATTACAAACTACATAATTAATCTATAAAGCAGTGAATGAATGGTGTATCATTATAACTGTGAAAAAAAATAGGAGCAGCAAGTAAAATTGTTCAATTTATGAAATGTACAAAGCTCATTTTCTTCACAACAATTCAGAATTCCACAAGGGGGTGCTCAAGTAACATTTTTAGAATAAAATATTTGAATGGAGATAAATTTGTACACCATACATAAAGTTGTTGACTTTACCATTATTTACAAAATTATAGATATTTTCATTATGGTTATCATTATTAACAGCACATAAAATGACTTTGTATCACTGCATATATAATTGAGTGTAATTTTATTATTATAATAGTGCACACTGATTATTAATTAATTATCCTTATACAAGTTACCAATAATATTTATTGGTATTTTATCATTTTTATGGGTATTTTATTTAGTATCTCATTCAGTGGCAAATTTAAGAAGGCTAACATAATTTTTGCTTAAAACACACCCCTGAATCTTACATCCAAAGATATTATGCTGTTTTCGTGCAATATTTAAGTTTAATTACATTATTAAACAAGCAATTAGTAAGTACTTAAAAATTACATTTACGTTTGATTTACATTGAGTATCAACAGGTTTGAGTTTGTACGTCCAATGTTTTTTGTTTTTCTGGTCTGAAAAACAACAAAAATGTGGCAAAAATGTAAAGGATGCATAACTTTTCATCCTGTTAAAATCATAGTTCAATATCTCCTCTTATACTGAGTGCGGTCAACTGTAAATTTAGCTTTTGACACAGTTGTGCTGTGAGTGATTATTATACGATTATAAAATGCTTTTGTTAACTGACCCTCTGAGGGAGCCTGTTTGTTCGTTTGCACGCTGACTGTTCACTCTGTGAAGGTGAGGACCGCTGGCTGTGCACGCTGCTCCTGCAGCAGGGCTGGAGAGTGGAGTACAACGCGGCGTCGGACTCCTACACCAACGCTCCTCAGGAGTTCAAGGAGTTCTACAACCAGAGACGCCGCTGGGGTCCCTCTACCATGGCCAACACTCTGGATCTCCTGTCCAGTGGCGGCCTGACTGCCGAGAAGAACAAGTCCATATCCAGACTCTACATGCTGTACCAGACCATCACCATGGCTGCCTCCATTCTGGGCCCGGCTACGGTCTGCCTCATGATTGCAGGTGAGAATACTGGACTTTCTGTCATTCGGAAGCCGTAAGTGATGGAGATGGATCTGTTAGAGCGGCAGTCTGTGCTTTATTTCTTCAACAGGCACAACCTCAGACTCGTCCTCGTTTTTATCATGAACTGATATTGTCTTTAACAGCCTGAAATCTGTTCATTTTAACATTTTCACCTTTTTCAGTGTTTGTAGTGCTCTGCCATGAGAATTCGCAACTTTTCAGGCATAGAGAAAAAATCACGTTACACGACTGAAACTCCTTGGCCTGATATTATGTTGGCTTTACTTTAACTAGCTGGCCTTATAAGATATTATTAATTAAAAACTAATTTTTGACATGCACATGCACCAAAACACCCGCACAAATGCTCGAACCATTACATTAGGTGGTTGGTAAGTGCGGCACCAAACCGTCACTTGCCATATTTATGGTTGCTTTATTCAGTAATAACTTAGACACCGTAGACTGAAAAACTGTGACCAGAAGATATTTTATTATGATGTTTTCTTCAACATTTCATAATAAACGATAAGCAAGATATTGGCTGACACTTTACTTGGAGAGCCCACTGTAGATGCTTTGTTAATGCTTCTGATTAGATTCTTTACCCTCACCCTAACTCTGGTCCTACACCTAGCCCTGGGACTAATCCTGACCCTAATACTGTTCACAATTGACTGAGTCTCAGCAGATGTTTTCTTAATAACAGTAACATTCATTTTGTGAAATGTACAGAATTAATTTTCTCCACAATAACTCAGGGGGCGCTCAAGTAGCATTTTTGTGCAGTATTTAAAGAGCTCCAGAAAATATGTATATGTATACCACACATAAATACACAGCGTTAATTTCTCCCAGCACATTCAACAATATTGTTGCTTTGACTTCACTGTTATTCAAAAATTATTATTAATGATTATTATTAAGTGAATAAATGACTCATTTAGTGATTTAATATTACTAAATAGATAATTGAGTATCATTTTATATATAGCAGAATTATGTTATTATATAGCAGAATACATTGATAATTTATTCATTATTATTATTATTATTATTATTAGTGGTAGTATTTTATCTTATTCAGTGGCAAATTTAAGAAAGCTAATATCACTTTTGCTCAAAACAGACCCCTTAATCCAGCATCTGGAGACGTTATGTTGATTTGCTATTTAAATTTAATATCATAATTAAAAACTTAGTTATGTGTAGATTTACATTCACACTTGATTAACATTCAGTTTCAACAGGTTGATTCTGCACTTTTTCCATTTGTTTCAAAAATTTTTTTAAATAATTTGAACATCTGTAGATAACCTGTTACAGATTGTCCAATTATATGCTGTAATTTTCTTTTTTTAGTCATTTCTTGATAAGTAATCTGCCTCGAGATCCAATCACCTCTCAAATCTGAGGCATTTAACATATTAATTATATTACATATACTATATTCAGCTTTATGTTATACATGTGTGTCGGTCATTTTGGAATCACCTACGGCTCTGTTCTCCATTTTTTTCCAACCTTTCTTCATTGTTTACAGCTTCTTACAAAAAATGCACAAAACTGGACTCAAAGTCATGAAAACATTGATTCCAAATTGTTGAATGGAAATAGAAATAAAGGTATATTTACAATGTTATGACCAACGTGTGGCCTAAAGCTTAGTTGACGCTTTTGACATGACAAGTTTGTCAAATGAGGAACCACAAAAGCAGTCTGCAGTGGTGAATGCGGTCCCGGCTCTTCAAACATACATGAAAACATAGATATGGACAAAGAACATGTTGCAGAGTTTATCCAAAGTTGTAGACTTTTGCAATAATAACATTCATTTCCACAGATGAGAAAATCTTGGAAGTGTGTATAAGCACTAAGCACAAGGGCCGCAAACCGGCTTTGGATAATATACAAAAAGCTAACTAACCAGATTATCTGAAATATTTATAATATATAAATCTAATGTATATGCAAATTTGTAATGTGCTTGTTGATACAATGTCTTTTGTCTTGTTTATTTTTTATAGGAAGCTTTAAATTCGTCCTGAAGATAGATGCCAATTTCGCCCTTGTGCTGGCCATTGTTCCTCCTGTTATCTACATGATCATCTGCTTCTACCTGGGCCACACGAAATCGGACACACAAATCACCATCGCCGCCATCATGAGCGTTATCTACGCTTTTCTGATGACTGCAACTCTGCTGTCTATTATAGGTGGGTTTTTGTTGTGAACTAGTGTAATACTGTAACAGCGTTCATGCTGTTTGTATGTTGTGTGATGTAATGGTGCGTTTGGATTGGAGTAATCGTGCACATCCTCGGCCTCCTAGGTGTAAATGTGTTAAAGCAGTAGTTCATATAGTTTTTAATGGAATATTTTAGACCCTGGACCAAAGTAGGACACTGTTTTTCACTGTAAGCTTAAATGCATCTGCAGTACATAAAATCCAAATGTAGATATCAAAACATTTAAACACATTTGACTGAATTAATAGCAATTATGAACTGAAGTGGCTTATTATCTTTAAAAACAAGAGATGAAGAGAGGACTTTAGCACGGTCCCCGCTCTCAGTAACCACGTACCACTTTTTATTACATCATCTCTCCACTGATTGGGGGTGGCCAGTGCCACCTTGCCATGAAGCCACTCTTCTGACCACCGGAGTGAAATAAAGTGAAACGGTCAGCTATCATCCAAGAATCTGTCACCACAGAAAAATTCTACCACTTTGTATGAACAGTTTTATGGTGAAAAGGGTTCTTTAGTAAAGAAAATGGTTCTATGGAGGATCATGAACACTCAAAGAACACTTTTATATGTATAATTAAAGGGTTCTTTGCTATAGATATAGGAAAATTGTGATATAGAAGGTTGTATATAGCACCCAAAAGGGTTCTTCGATTGTTACAGACATGACATCGTAAGAATAAAAGAATCCTTTTTGGTGCTATATAGAACCCTTTTCAAAAAGGTTCTATATAGAACCATGAAAAAAACACATTCTCCATCAATCTGAAAAACGCTTTCACGACGCAAAGCACCTTTTAATCACTCAAAGCGTTCTTTGGGTGTTCATAGTTCTATATAAAATCACTGTCTTTATCAAAGAACCCTTGAAGAACCATCTTTTTTAAGCGTGTTGACTATACGATGGTAAGATGAGGTTACAACAAAAATTCATACTAACATTTACTATCATATAGTCATAACTGTCATTTATCATGTTATTTAACCCCTTAAAATCCCAGGCTTATTACATACTAAGGCTTATTATAACTACAGACACGTCAGTGCAAACTGGCTGAGCTGTTCTCAGGTTATAGAAGTGTGTAATAAAACTTCCGGCCCACCCGTGGACCCTGACCATTAGAGGGGTTAAATACTCTTTACAGCTGAGTGTTTGATGATGCAGGCTAGATTTCATCAGAAGCGAATACGCACATGATTAAGCCTATTATTAAAAAACAGGTTGAAATTCGTTGCTAACTGGTACGTTGCCATGGTGGCCATGAAGTTAGGTTGAAAATTAATAATCATAACAAACCACAGTGGCTTTAAAAGTTGCTACATGGCATTCACTGCAGCAAGTTATTTAAAAAATAAATAATTAACAAGCATTAATGGTGTTCTCTTGTTTAATGTGTAGGTTTATTTTTTAATTTAGATGATAATTATAGTATAAGAAGTTTTCACCTAAACATGTAACAATGTCCTGGATACAGTTACAAGAATTCTGTATTCCAAATCCCAACCCCGGTGAAGCGTCACTAATAACATAAAACTTGCCCAAGTTTATCACTAGAATTTATGACTTGGATTGCAGCTTCCTTACGGTAAAAAAAATTGTGAGTGATAATAAAAACATAATAAACCTGACTTACGCAGCACCTCACATCCACTTAAAGCGTGGCTTTAACCCTTGTGTGGTGTTGATGTGTTTGTAACTCAGTGGTCTGCTGGACCCACCACATTATTGTTTTTCTAAATGAATACAGCCATAACAATTTCTGTAAAAGTATCACAAGTGGCCAGCGTAGGGTTCTCCTTTAGCAGCTGTAGCCAGTCAGCAGCCTGTCCATGTTCCACCCTAACACACATACACATATACAAACACACACACACACACACACACACACACACTAACAGCAGGCCATGTAGGAGGAGAACAGAGTGAAGGACACAGCACCTCCACACTTTTATTCCTCGCGGGTTCACCCAACACCACATGTGTAATATAAATGTGTGGGGGGTGAACAGAGTGAAGACACTGAAAATGGGTTAGTTTATATGTTCTTCACAGAAGATGAGCAAAGACCAACGAATCTGAGGTTGAAATAATAATAAATCACATCATTTTTTATTTTGGTAAACATTGAAAATGGGTCCCACAGACCCCAACACCACTCAAGGGTTAAGTGCTTCACATGGAGAAAAAACAGGAAATAATTCTCAAAAGAATAAAATAACTATAAACATAAATAATTGATAACTGTACAGTAAGTGAAACAAAGAACTTAAGCTCAGAAGATAAACTTTTAAAAATAGAAAATACAGTAAATAATTATTTATAAAGTGTCCAGTAATACAGTAAATATAAAAACTAGACTAAAGCTGTGGAGCATGTTCATGTACTAGTTCACTAAAATCTAATTTACACAGTTTCCCGCTTACCTTAGATGCAGTCGTTCAACCAAGATGGGCAGTCCTGCAGCCCAAAATCCGTTTGCTGAAGAAAAAAGGAAACGTTTCTAGGGAAATACAGTGAAATACATCCTTCTACTTTTCAAAATTAAAGGAAAGTTCTGGGCGAGTGATTAGAAACTATCTTCATGTTTTGTTTTTAATTGTTTATCTACTATTTTGATATAATGAGGGAAATAGGAAGAGGCCAGATTCCTCATAAACCAGCTCTGGTATTGACAAGAAGTTAAAGAATATAGTTGTTTATCTGTGTTTGTTCAGGGGACATGGTGAATCAGGACACCTTTGTGACACCAAGTGGCTTGTTTTTCATCGGCATCACGGCCATGTACGTCTTCACCGCTCTTCTTCATCCTCACGAGTTCCACCTCATCATCTACGGCTTCCTCTACGTCATCTGCATTCCCAGCGGCTACCTCCTGCTGATCATCTACTCCATGGTCAACATGAACAACGTGTCCTGGGGCACTCGGGAGTCCGGCGCTCAGGCCGCCGCGGCGCCCGCCAAGACGAACCAGAAGAACGTCAAGTGCCAGAAGCTGCTGAAGGTCTGCGGCTACAGCCTGGAGATTCAGGTCAGCGAAGAAGTGAAGGTGGTGAGCACTGTACCTCTGAACAACGTCTCGCAGGTCACAGGTGGAAGTGCCCCTGAAGCAGCTACTGAAGTGCCCACCCAGCAGGAAGAAAAGTACATTTCTATAGCTAACCTGTTTTTCCATATCTTTTCTGCTGCAATGCTATGGTTTAAGAGAAAGGTTCTAATGTATACCGTCTTGCTTTTTCAGAGGAACACCTGTCATTACGAACTGTGAGTATCTCTCTCTCTCTCTCTCTCTCTCTCTCTCTCTTTTGGCTTAAACTCTTTGGTTTAATGCATTTAATAAGGACAGACATTCCACAAATGAACACTTAGTAATTATGGATGACAATATTGTAGTTGAACTTTTTCTAACCCCAAGGATGATTATTTCTGGCCAAACATATAACTGTAGTATAAATATATAAGTATGTTTTTATGTAAAGAAGAATTCCACTGATTTTTTTTCCAAAATCTGTGCATAATTCAGTATTTGACTTGTAAATATAGTTATCTGTGATTTCCTTTTACAGTGGTGGTGATAGGAACCAGAGGTCCCAGCGTCCATAATGCAAATATATCAATTTATATACATTAAACCAAAACCACCAGTAAACCTACGTGTGCCTTCCGAGTGTTTATTTACACTGTTAATGATGATAAAATAGTTGTAAATCTCAAAAATACCTTTTTTTCTGGTACTATTTTCTGTTATAACACCCTGCATCTACCCCTCCACCAAAAATACGCTTTAGGCCAAAATCTTCTCTCAAATACAGTGTTTTGGGCGTCAGGCAGCCTTTTCATAACCATCACATGTAATGACTTTCTGTGAGGGAGCTTTTAGAGGTGGACGTCTGGTTCCTGTCACCACCACTGTGAACGGTTCAAACTCTAGTTTCTCTAGAACAGAGAGTTTCACACCAAATCACTCTGTTTACATCTCAACCACTTAATTATGCAGAAATTTGTAGAATTGCTCTTTAAACATGTATAACAACCAATTTTTAAAATAAATGTTCTTCAATAGGCTTCATCACACAGCTGAAGGAAAGCTCTGGTGAACTGCCCCTCAAGGAGGACTGTCTTAATGAGGTGGGTTTTTTAAATATGCATGCATATTAGTTATCTGATGAGGGACAACATACTGTCGAGAGTTAAAGGCTGCCTTCTGGTGTAACAACACCAGTCTAACTAGCAGTATAAGTTTTCCGAGTGTAGGAAGATCTACATGGGGGAATATTGCGTTGCAGTGCATGCTGGGGACTGCAGTGCAGCGTGTTGTGAAATAGATTAATATTAATAGAAAATTTAAACACTTTTGCTGGCCGGATAGGATTGTTTCATGGGCCTGATCTGCCCCGCGGGCCTTGTGTTTGACAGCTGTAGAATAACAGAATTTGTTTTGAAACATGAATGGCTTGCGAATAAAGTACCATTTTCTTTGCCATTTTAGGAGGAAGAACAGTTTTGGGAGGACCTGATTAAGCAGTACCTGAAACCTCTAGAGAGTGACAAAGCAAAGGAGGAGAAAATAAAAGTCGAACTGAAAGACCTGCGCAACAAGGTTAGTGTGTGTTAACAATCAGTTAATAAAAACAGGTCTGCGTTTAGACAGCGTAGATTCCTTTGGCTGTTCAGATCCCACATGCAATACAATGGAAAATGCTAATTAAACGTGCACCAGCGTAACTGCGTATGTCTCATTTTCAGACAACATTTGTGTTCTTCATCTGTAACGCCTTGTGGCTCGTTGCAACCTTCTTCCTGCAAGCCATTGGCAGCTCGGTGAGCATTAACATCCCGAAAGTCTTGATCAATGGAACCGTTGATAAGAACGGGAGGATCTTCATTGATCCCATTGGCCTGATGTTCCTCATTGGCTTTGCAACCCTTCTGGTCGTCCAGTTTTTTGCTATGCTGTGGCACAGGTACCTGAAACATGACTGAACAGGTTTTGAATCATGTTCAACATTATTAAAGACTTGTATATTGTGTCGTTAAGTACTAAACTGACTTGATTTGTGTATTTTTTTCTTTCCAGAATCCAAACTTTGATCCACTTCATTGCTTATAATGGGACTGAGGCTGTCGCTAACAGGAGAGCAATGAGACAAAGTCAGGAAATTCCTCTAGATATAAATGTAATGAATCTCCTTTATTTTCACTGTTAGCCTAAGTTGAATTTCAGTACTGTGACATTTAGTGAATGTTTGGTGACAATTTCTGTTCGTTTTTTCAGAACTTTCTGTAGAAAAATCATGGATTGACTGAAAGCTGCTAAGTGGATGTCCCAGAGGAGGAAAAACGTGACGGGGAACGTCTCTACGATGCGGCAAACCTGACATTTATTGTATTAATCACTAAATAGCTCTGAATAAATTAAGATAGAAAGGATTGTTACCAGTGTTTCACAACAGACACATAACTTCATGGATATGTAGTGTCTGTGCTATTGCACTTTTCTGTTCAGCATTGTTTACTGTTGTTTTTTCCTTCATGTCTGTCTTTATTTATTAATATTATTATTGTTAAAACTTTTCGTTCTTTATATCAATATATGAAGTCATCATTCTTTGAAACTACCCTGAATATAAACACTATTAAAGTTTCAAAATGTGCCTTTAACTGCCTGGTTCCTGTTTTTTAATTAATTGTTTTTGTGATGTCACAAAAATCCACACATTTACAAACATCTGCGCATTAAGCCAGAATAGCAGTTTGAAGTTATTAGGAGTGTTTCAGTCTGGGCTGTTTTTTGAACAAGGCGCAGTACAGGTCAGCCAATCCGACCTGAGCTCATTTGCATATATCAGTCTTAAAGGCACAGTAACAACAGTCATTGTTTTATTGTGAAGTCACAAAAACCCACACATTCACAGACATTTCCTGTTAACCTCTGAGGTTGTGCATCATTTGGTAGTGCTTTAAAATACGACTACCCTTATAAAATGTTAATGAATGGTTTAAAATGAGTTTAATGGTTTTTAATGAGGTCTTAAAGACCTTAAAAGCATTAATAAGCATTTACAACACATAAATAAAAAGGGCAACAGTGACCTGTTGTTTGCCTAATAGTGAACCCACGTTCATTCACACTATGAAAGCCCAGATTTTGATGTTTACTGGTCTTACTTTGTCTTCTTCATCAGTCAGCATCAAAACTATCAGCTTTATCACATTCATGTCCATCAACTCAACTCATTATACCTGCTTATTGCTGATTGATTGAGTGTTTATGACCTAATTAATAACCATCAACAAAATAATTTTGAACCATTCATTAACCTTTATAAAGGTTGTCTTATTTTAGAGTGGTCCACGTCGTTTTGTAGTTGACGTCATACCAAAATAAGAAACTCCAGCTCTCCAGCTAATTTTTCTACAAGAAAAATTAATTGCATTTTATCTGTTATGCATGAAAAAATGCCCCAGAACCAGTAAGTTTTGTCCTGTGTAAATGTCCCCCTGAGTCTCTGGATCATTTTAATTTAGAGGTTTTTAAGTAGTTGAACAGGGTTCGACTCCCCTTTCAGGAAATCTTTTTCCAGGACAATTCCTACAACTTCCATAACACCTCAGCACTTTAAAATTCCAGGACCTTCAATCAGTGGCTTCATTTTTTGCTAAATTAAGTCGATGGGTAGAAGGTCAACCACTACCCTTTGTAACTCAGTTCCAAGGGACTAGGGGTAAGAAGTGGGATTGGGTCTAAGTGGAAATGACCAACTTAAGTCTGTAAGTGAAGCATGGAGCAGTCCAAATTATATTGTCATATTTTATTGTTTATCTGTCTATGTAAATTATTATTGTGTATTTTGTAACAAGCCTCTGCTGGTAAACAGGAAGAAGACTCTTATGGCTCATCCTGCACGTGGCCGTATCACAGGTGAAGTGAACTGAATTGCTCATACTACCCTTTAGACTTTGCTAATATAAAAGGCTATTCGTGTATGTAATAAAAGACTGTGACCATGTTAGCCTCATTTACAGCATGTAGTCTCTCTCTCTCTCTCTCTCTCTCTAACTAAAAAAACAACAAACTGAAAAAAAGTCTTTCTTGGAATTATGTTTCCTTCCGTGTTTGAGAGAAAGAACGCTTAAAACTAAAACACTGATTTCAACTACATGTTGCTAATCAATCTTGCTAATCCACCACACCCAATAATATGACTTTGATCATGCAGTCACACACTGGTCTCAAAAACTGAAACAAGTGGACAGTGATATGGAAACTTAAGCTCGTTATGAAATTGAAACTTTTTTTAATTGATAATAATAATATGCCACACTGGGGGCGAAGCCATGCAGATTGGTCACAGGCCTACCTGAAAGAATATTTATTACAGCAATTTTTGTATTACTTGCAATGCTCTTTTACTAAAAAGGCTGAAATGGGCTTTGTGAAAATGTCAAAGCAAATGTCTATTGTTACATCAGTGAATCGAGTCATCAAAGGTAAGACATAAATGGACCATGAACCTCTTTCATGCCGATTTTATCTGTACGCTTTAGCCTTTGGTTATTAAGTTTAGATTTTTGGTTTTGCTGTGTTGTTTTTCCTTGTCTTTGTACATCTCAGCAGCCTTATTTTAACAATCTGTTTGCCCAATGAAATTTTTCATCTACGGGACAGCTTTTATGCCACTTGAGAAATATAATACAGGTCTAAGAAAGTTTGCAGCAGCTCCAGTATGTTTAGATGTAAGGCACCAAAGTAATTCATATATATATATATATATATATATATATATATATATATATATATATATATACATTATTATACATTTTTGAGTTTCTATAGCAAAATGAGCCATCAAGCGAACTATAAAAGAGCTTGGACTTTTTTCCTCTTTAAAGTTAATACATTATCTCTTAAAGATGCTCTTCTTAATGGTTCTTTATGTCACCTTAAGAAGCAAACCTTTCTATAACCTCCCTTTAAAAAGTTTGTTTTTAACAGGTTTCTAACTTGTAGTATTTGGTGAGTTTAGAGTCGTACAATTTTGTTCTTTATGTTGTGACACCTGATGGTTTACAAAGACAGGATTTAGTGTAAGGATTTGCATAATAGACCAGGGGCTGTATTACAGAAAAGTCTGCTTCAGTTAAGACTGAAGTTAGGACAGAAGCTATTACAGAACAACAGTTCCCAAGTCCAAAATCTTATCTTATTTCCAGATAAGAAAACAGTATTACAGAAACATCCTAAGTTGCCAAAATATCCTAAATATTTTCTTAACTTTAAGATGAACCCCAGAGGTGTCTTAACTTCTGCTTTAACTGTCTGTTCCTATTGTTTTATACAGTGTCAGGCAGCACGGTTCACTATAACCAGTATAATGACGTTACATTAATCTACACTGAAAACGCTGCTTTGACTCATATGTTTTTTTTTCTTACAGTGTTTTAAAAATCAAAAATCTCAGACGCTGCATACTCGATCTCCACCGTCCCTCTGATTACCTTCGTGTGTTAATGTTGATGATGAAATATTACAGTGATGGTGGTGAATAATGAGGAGACGGAGCTGAACGTGTGTCTGTTTATTAGGAGGAATAACGTTAGTTCGCTCGGCTAAAGTGTTTGGGAAATGGAGACTGAAACTGTGGAGCGGCAACGCTCTGATAAACAGCACATAGCGCTGACACAATATTCTCAACTCGCGTTTTAGTATTGTTTGACCTTTTTACATCAGTAATGGTAGCTAACATTAGCTGTCTGGCTAAGTAACTTGTTTACGTGTTTACAGCTGTGCACATATGGTCGGTTGCTCGGTAACAGACACGACAGTCGGTTGTCGACTTTAATCAAGTAAGTTAAGATTTCCTAACTTGAGATTAGAAGCTGTAAGATAAGACAAGATTCTTTAATGAAGATCAGATTTGCTTCTGTAATATGAAATTGTGAAAAATCTTATCTTGACCTGTCAGATCTTAAGTTAGGACAAAAAGATTTTTGGGGCCGCTGTAATACGACCTCAGACTCCTACCTCTTTAGATGGGAAAAGACCTTTAACTCTCATGTTTCGAAAACAGGTTTGAAATCACTGGTAAAATCTGACAAAAACAGCCTAAATAGTTTGTAGCATTTTTTTCAGCTTGTTCTGGCTGCTGTGCATGCACATATCTCCACAAAGAGGAGGAACTTTTCCCACTTATGGCTTTATCAGCAAGCTAATTGGTTCATATACTGTTTTGCAAGCTTTTCCATTCTTTATTCATCCAGCAAACTGGTCTCCTCCTCCTTTATAATGTCTCTGGTAGAGTCCAGTAAAGTTGCTTAGGGCTCAGTGCAGAGCAATCTTAAAGTAATGATTAAACGAAAGATCAAATAGACACAATCAACCCCTTACCCCACCTTAATGTATTCAGTCAGACAAAAAGTGGTCATTGTCCAAAGCTGCAAAGCCGATGTAATAGAAGCCTAAGTAACCCCAAAGATTCTCCCTTAACTAAAACTAAAGAAGACAACACCAAGCATGTCTTCATCAGTCGATTAAGTGTGGGGTAAAATGATTTTTCCTTCTACCATTTCTTGCCACTGAACTCCACATGTGTAGCACATCTTTTTACTCTTTTCTTTCAGGTGCAGGATGGTCAGGTGTTCGCTGCTATTCCTGAACTTCATAAAGCCCCTATATTTACTCTCCAACCAGTGTCAGGTGAGTCCATTCGACACTACTCACCTTTAAAGCAAAGGTTCAGCCAAAAATCTAATTTACATAATTAACAAACAGTACAGTACTGTGCATCATCAGAGATGTAGCCAAGGGGTGGCTGGAGGTGGTCAGTGCCACCCTAGAATGAAGCATGGCTTCCCTTCTAGCCAAATGAGACCATAAGTGAGACAGTCAGCCATCAATCCACATGGAAAAAATATATATGGACATGTATTTTTATATATTTGAAACACATTTCAAATACACTGAAATACATTCCAAACACTAGAATGTGTTTCAGAGTAAACTGCAGTGTTAACCAAATATATTTCAAAATACGTTTATATTTATTTACGCATACAAATGTACCAAACCAAAATAAAACTATGTTCACATTACAAGCCTCGTTGCTCAAATCCAATTTTTTGCTCACATCCGATCTTTCTAAACGATGGTTCACACTTGTTTAGGTAAGTGATTCAAATCTGTCATTAATGTGACGAACCGGCGTCCTGAAACGACCCTCATGAGCTCATCCTACTCAGTAACGTCACGTGAATGAATCACCTGCATCATCAGCACAAACTAACAAGCAGAACGAGCTTCGCTGAGAAGATAATTAACTCTGATCAGCTCTCAGCTTCATTATTAGAGCGAGACGGAGGTCTGAGCATCACATTAAGGTCGCACGGCCACGAATCGGATACATATCTGATCTAGTACCACATATGAAAATGACTCAGATTGGATTTGAAATGATCAGATTTGCGTGTCCACACAGCCCTGAAAACATCAGATCCGAGACACATTAGGGCAAAAAAATCGGATTTGTGCCACTTCAGCCTGGTAATGTGAACGTGGCCTAAATGTGTGTGAAATGTATCGATTAACTGAATCGAGGTATTGTTACTCTGTGAAAATGCAGTATGACTGATACAGTCATACTGCATCATACAAAACAAAAGTCAGTACCATCCATTCAGTTATGTATACACTCATGTATGTTTAATCATATTTCTTAGCTTTGTTAAAATGACATACAATTAAAAAAAATAACAAATAGAAATAAATGCATTTCAAAAATGTATATATATATTTTTTCATGCATTGCAACCATACATTTTATAAACATGTTTGAAATATATATTTTTTCCATATGGGAAAGCATCAGTAATGCCTATGGTGAAATCTGCCATCAGGGTAGCCAGTCAGTTATGAGAGTTATACCTCTTGTAGAGTCCAATGACACTGTATTGTGTGGTGTTCAGGTCTGTGGGATTCATTTTCAATGTTTACCAAAAGACAAAATTATGTGATATATTATTATTTCAACCTCAGATTCTTTGGCCTTTGCTCATTTTCTGTAAAGAACATATAAAATAACCCATTTTCAATTGTTATGACTGTATTGATTTAACTGAGCTAACTATCAAAAATTAGTTGCCTGTAATTGATTATCGTGCTAACTAATAACTCTTAAGTTCTTTCTATTTTAAATGTTTTTCCTAATGTTAAGTGTATTGATGTAATATTCATGTGGACAGGTTTAATTATGTACCAACTCACCTCAGCTGCCTCGCAGATTTCTTTCCCATGAGCATCTAAAATGGCTAAAGGAGATATTTCTGAGAATAGACGTAAGATGATCTACTTGAATGAGGAAGGAAAAAGTCAAAGGACAATAAATAAAAACAAAACAAAACAGGTGTTCAAAATATGAATATTAAATGAAGCTGCAAACTTGCTTCAGATCTGAAAAAATCCACAGGCGTTTCTTCCACTATGAGAAGGCCACTCAGTGCTGTGGGTCTGAAAGGATGTGTAGCTGTCAGGTTGAGTAATTTTGTGAGATTTGTGGCCAAAGCATTGCTTTAAATATGACAAAAAGATGTTTTTTTTGGAGAATTGTTATAAAGAGAGTCCTAAAATCAGTGCTCATGACTACAGCAGGTACTTTTCAGTTACTTCCATCACTGACTGGCATTTATGTCTTTGACTCACGTCCATATTTTCACTCTATTTCCTCACTGCTCACCATAAAACTGCATACTTATTATACATTAAAGCTCTCATAGTCCCCTGTTTTACCATTTCGTTGGTAACATCATGAGATATTATTAGTTTTGGCTCAATTTCCAAGCCTACCATTTCCCGGTGAAGCCTCGGCGGGACAGTACGCCCAGGTGATCCTTGTACCCGTTTATGGCCTTATGTACTGTAAATGGGGCAGGACTAAAGGTGCAATGATAACTCAAGGCATCTGACTTAAGGGAACTCATCTCTGAACGTTACTTCATACGTGATTGTTCATGGAATAGCAGGACGTCATGGAGGAGTTGAGGAACAGAGGTCAAAAGAGAGAAAACAGGCACAGGTGCAGTCAAATCAAACTTCTGAGCTTTGTAATGAATATTGCATTATATGGCTTAACATTGGTGAACTTGTAAAGACATGAACAGTACTTACTTTCTGTATATTTTCAGATACAGATTGATCCTAGTTTTTTGTTTTAATTAGACTTGTAATGTCTATCCTGTAAAGTCTATAATGAAAGACACTCCAGCGTTTCTCATCCTCATCTCTATCTGCCGTGTATGTAGCGTATAGTCAGTTACCATAGACCATGTTTCCCTGTACATAGTAACAGAACAGAAGATCTGTTGATTCGAAACGCTGTTATAAGAAAAGCCAGTGGGCCAAAGTGTCATCACCTGTCCTTTAGCTTCTACTATGAGTGTATTTTGAGTGAATAACTGTTGATTTTAGGTCCACTCGCATTATTTTAAGTGGTAGCCAAGTGTATATTACAGATGTAGCCTGACAAACACTGAATTATACCTTTAATCTTAACGCGGGACTGTAAATTGGAGGGTATTTTTTGGTGGTATTTATTGGTTATGAATCAATTGGGTCAGTGAGGGCCGATAGAGGGCAATATATTCTGCCGATACTGCAGTGCAGTTTGTTAGCTTGACAAAAAAAGTTTTACTTGTTATCGCAATGATACTGCAGTGGATTTTTATTAAGTCCCAATTAAGACATAAAACTTTTTAAGACATAAATATATATATAAATATATATCTGTTGTTGGAGGAAACCTTGTATTTTCAAAATGATAACTTTACAGGAGAAGGAAAAAACATACTTTACTTTCAATGTAAGTCAATGGAACCAGACGTCTTTCCAAGCAATTTTGGGTCATTTCCTTTAGTCTACACATCATGAAATTTACATACAATGTGAAGAGCAACAGTCATTTTCAAATTATGTCAAAAACTGAAAAACGATAAAAATGGAGTCACAAGGTTTTCTTCTGAGAAAATATGTTATACAATATATAAATGGCATTTTGACTCTAACTTACTCGGTAGTCTATAAGACTGATTCATTTACAATTCAGCTAATTTTATGCAATATTTATTAAGTTAGTAAATATACCAATAATATTATAAGCTTTTTTTTATCTCTACTAATGTTTACAATAAACATATCATTTGATATAACCAGATTTATATAACTCAGTGCTGTGACAGCCATTCCAGCCTGTTTTGTTCTTGGATCCAAAGGCAAAGAAAAGAATCCGTGTGTAAGTGTGTGAAACGATGCTGAAATAGTTAATATACAGTGCTATAATTTATGAATTTATAATCTTGATCAGATGTTCATAGTCATGCCAGGTGAAAGGTCTTTTTCTGACCCAGTAGAAAATAACTCACCACTGACTGTTCCAATCGGTCCTCGACCTTAAATGACAACACTGATGATTTTTCAGTCGTATTTATTACAGTGAGTTACAGAAGCTGCTTGTAAGGACAATGAACAAGTGTACACATTTACACCAAAATAGACCAGAAAAAAGATGAAAAAGTACATAGTTTAAAGTGTCATTTTGTAGGTTTACACTGCGTTCTGTCTCAGTTAAACCTTATCAGTTATGTTATAAATCAGGTAATCTAACAAATATTTTGATATTAAATTTCCAATAAGGCCTACGTAAAACTCTCTCAGGCATTTTGATGAATAATCAAGAGTTTAGAAAGGACTTAACAGAACCATATAAACCATACAGCCTTTCAAAGATTCCAGAATTCTTTCTTGGACAAGAATAAACTATGACGCCTTTAAAAGAGCTTAAATATGTACAGTAATCTGCAAAAGCCTAAGGCTGCCATGAACGCTGTTCACAGTAATTTGTCTTAGCCAGAAACGAACACTAATATTTATTCCAATAAATACAAATAAACATGAATACAGTAGAAGGGTTTTTAGAAAGTTATTATTGTTTGTTAGAAGGTTGCAGTTCGAAGGACACGGGTTTGGTTCCTGACGTCTCACTGAACTCCAGCCATCGCATGGATTTGTTCAGTTCCATCAGCAGCACCTGATTTAACTCAAGCAGAGCTCGGAACTGGTGAAGCTACTACAGACATCAAATCAAAATGTGTTTGTTTTATTTTGTTTTGCCTGTGTGAGCTTTATACATCATTTTCTTAAAGGCTTAAGACTTGCAGGCAGTACTGTACACAGTCATAGGCAAAAGTTTGAACACTGCTGGTCAAATTATGTTTTGTTGATTAAAAATAAGCACGTCCTCTACAGGAAACAATGTTTAGTGTAATGGAAAGAAATAAAGTATAAAAACGGACACATTTTTTTTCAGCAAATAAACTTATTTTCACCAACAAAACGTGTAATTAGACCATTTTGCAGACGACTATAAGCCCCATGTGGTGGAAATGCATATAACAGGGTGTGTCTATCAGGCTCTGGTCCTCACTGTAAGAGAGACCAGCAGGAGAATTTAAAACATTTTAATGTTCAAACTGACGATTCGTCCGTAAGGTACATTTTAATTGAATATTTTGTTTTAATCAGGTAATCGTGACAGGCCTGATCAGTACTCAGCATCTAACCATGGATGATGTGCTAATGTCTTTTACAGGGACACATGGGATCCCTTTCAGCTGAATCCCGTCGGGGCGGAGAAAGAAACGAAAAGAACATGTTTTCGGATAATGCAGTCCTTCATGGCCGTGCTGGTGGGCCTGCTGGTCTTGACCAGCGCCGTCATCAGCAAGGTGAGTGATTTTAATAACTAGAAGGGGAAAGTTTCTGAACAGACTTTCAGTTGGCTCGACAAAGCTGGTGCTGAGCTATCCTAGGTGGTTGCCAAGGTGTTTCTAGGCCGTTAGTGTGCTATCCCAGGGGGTTGTTGGCCCGTTAGTGTGCTTTCCCAGGGGGTTGTTGGCCCTTTAGTGTGCTATCCCAGGGGGTTGTTGGCCCGTTAGTGTGCTATCCTGGGGGGTTGTTGGCCCGTTAGTGTGCTATTCCAGGGGGATGCTGGGCCATTAGTGTGGTATCCCAGGTGGTTGCTGGGCCATTAATGTGGTATCCCAGGTGGCTGCTGAGGTGTTGCTAGGCCATTGCTGTGGTTATCCCAGGTGGTTGCTAAGGTGTTGCTAGGTCATTGCTGTGGTTATCCCAGGTGGTTGCTAAGGTGTTGCTAGGCCATTGCTGTGGTTATCCCAGGTGGTTGCTAAGGTGTGGCTAGGCCATTGCTAAGGGGTTGATCTATATCCTTTTTATAACATAAACTCCTGTCATCTTTCTCTCATGTTGTGTAATTCATAGGTTCTTCCCTGTTTACTGAACAGAGCAGAAACCCTTCTTTACAACAGCCTGTTTCTGTTTATTCAAATCAAGTTATCCAAGCCCTGATATGGAGACGTTTGTCTCCACAGAAACGTACAAGGGTTAAGGGAGGGATTTATGAGGGGACTGAGCTGCGGGTACTTTGTCCTCTGTTATCTTCGGTGTCTTCCTGAATGTTCTCAAACACAAAACCCGAAGGTCTATGATAGATTGAAGGAGAACTCCATATAGAGTTCATAACGTGTTGCATGGTGCTTAGATAAGGTTAAGGTAATCACTTAACAACTTTGAATAAGGAAGTAACTGTAAGAAGATAAAGATCATATGCAGCATATAAAAATGATGCATCATCTTATCTCTTGTGGTTTGACATATGTCTGTGACAGTAATGTAGTCCCAAGAATACGTATATATATATATATATATATATATATATATACACACACACACACACATACATATGTATACATATATATACATATATATATATATATATATATATATATATATATATATATATATATATATATAAAACATTCATCAAATATACCCCCTTAAGCACCTTTCAGTTGATAGTTCTTTAAAAACTCAATAAAACCACTTAACTGAAAGGTTCTTTAGGGGACCATCAGTGTTTTTGTCTGTTGCATTCCTCCAAAGAACCCATTTTGGAACCTGTATAATTTAAAGGGTATAATAAAATTACTTTTTTTTCATTTTTGCTTGAGGTTAATAGTTAATAAAATGTTATAGTTAATAAATAGTTAACAAACCTCACAATGAAAATCTTATATTACATTTTTGAATTATGTGTAAAATAATAATTTACACATACATTCTGTTCAGTACGTTTGACTTCAAAGGGGGAGAAAATGTCTGTGTATGTCAATTTAAATCACTGAGATGTAAATAGTTATTCATAGTAGTTTGATGTAAAATCGTGCGTTGTAGAGAAAATTTCTTGTATTTCTTTATAGTGGTGGTGATAGGAACCAGGGGTCACAATGTATATGATCCATTATATGTAACGTTGATGATGGTAAAATAGTGACAAACCTGGACAAACTTGCATTTTCTTTGGGTCTTATTTTGCCTTACAACACTCTCCATGTACTTTTAGTAAAATAACAATCCACAAAAAAAAGAGTCATTAAACTCTTCAACGTCTGGTTCCTATCACCACCACTGTGAACAAATCAGACTCTGTAAGTTTCTCTAGAACGAAGCATTTCACACCAAACTGTTTTTATATTTTAAACTGCTTTAATAATGGAGGATTTCCACGAATTCTTATTTAACCTCTTATTCTCCAGGGTATATTTTGGTTTGTCCATCTGAATTTAAATGACCAAAACGTAAGGCAAATTATTCAGTAACAGAATTAAATAAATGTACATTTTTATTTATTTATTTATTTTTTTAAAAGCTCCCCTCAAATTAACAGAATGTGTTTTATGATCACACATATTTCTATATGCTTAGAATTTACTGCTGAAAGCAAAAAATCTTAGACGCTCTTTGTATTATTTTATAAAAATAATTTGTACAGAGCAGATCACTAAGAGACGCCATCTGTTTATAGTTTATAGCCCAGATTTGTGAAAAAATGGGTCGACTTTCAGTAGAAAAAAATTGTGTGTTCAGCTTCTTTTATTATAAGGGTTTAAAATTACATCACCCATCTATTTGACTAGAAAGAAGACAGTTACAGCTCTCATATGACCCCCACCTTTTGAATGTAGCTTATGAAATATGAAAGTTATGAAGAATATGACAAAGTGCGTTTCGGAACCACCGGTGGTCTCAAGGATTTGAAAAGGTTAATGCAGTGAGTTTTTTGCAGTTTAAAACAACCTAACTCACCTGATCATGTTGCAGGGTTCGATGCTGACCCTCGTCACGCTGTCCAGCCCATATTCACTGAGGAGCTCTACAGACAGGCAGTTCTACGCGCTTCTGCTGATGTGTATCGTGGTGACACCCAACCTGCTGGTGTTCCTCAAGTGTCTGTGGAAATGCACCTTCAAAAGTTATGTCGCACCCAACATGAAGACCATGGGCATTGTGAGTTGAACTCATTTTAAATGGATTCAACACATGCAACCATAACTGTTATATGTTGATTTAGAATGCATATACAGGCTGAGTGACCACATCTAGAGTGATGAATGCCATTTTTTGCCTTTCTTTAATTCTGGTAGTTGTAGATTGTATACACCTCCTTGTTTCTACACTTATTGTCCACTTTATCATCTCTACTGACCACACAGGAGCTCTTTGTAGTTCTACAATTACAGACTATAGCCCATCTGTTTCTCTGCATACTCTGTTACCCCGTTCTACAAAGGTCGGGAACCTCACAGGACCCCCTCAGAACAGGTTTATTTGGGTGGTGGATCATTCTCAGCACTGCAGTAACACTGACATGGTGGTGGTGTGTTAGCGTGTGTTGCGCTGTTCTGAGTGGATCAGACACAGCAGTGCTGCTGGAGTTTTTAAACACTGTGTCCACTCACTGTCCACTCTATTAGACACTCTTACTTTGTCAGTCCACCCTGTAGATGTAAAGTCATTCTCCAGTCCTTCATCAGTGGTCACAGGGCGCTGCCCACAGGACACTGTTGGCTGGATATTTTTGGTTGGTGGACTATTCTCAGTCCAGCAGTGACACTGAGGTGTTTAAACACTCCAGCAGCACTGCTGTGTCTGATCCACTCAGACCAGCACAGCACACACTAACACACCACCACCACTTCAGTGTTACTGCAGTGCTGAGAATGATCCACCACCCAAATAGTACCTGCTCTGTGAGGGTCCATGGGGGTCCTGCCCACTGAAGAACAGGGTAAAAGGGGGCTAACAAAGTATGCAGAGAAACAGATGGACTACAGTCTGTAACTGTAGAACTATAAAGTGAAACTATATGGTCAGTGGAGCTGATTCAATGGACAATGAGGTGGTTTTAATGTTAATGTCGCGGCTGATCACTGTATGTTGATCATTTGTTACTAAGATGGCGGTGATCGAGGTCCTGGTTGCCGTGGGGACGGCGGTGCTGGTTCTCATCGTGATGCCTCAGTTCGATGTGCTCACCAACCTCTTCATTTGTGGAGGCGTCTGCATTCTCACCTCCATCCTGCAGATAGTCTTCCGACTCCCTCAGGAGCGCTGGATGATCATCTTTCCCGTTTGCTCCCTGATTCTGGTGCTCATCGGCTACACCCTGCTGGCCGTCGACTACTACGTGCGGATATCGTCTCACGTCGTGGACCAAGACGAAAATAGTTACATGTACGTGGGCATCGCCATATTCACCTCTCTGCTCATCTCTCTTAATTGGTGGGAGAACTCTCTGCAGGCCAGCAACAACATTCAGGAGATGCTGAGCGAGCTAGACGGCTTCAGAGACTTTGTGTTTATGATTACCAGCCTGCTGAGGATCGCCGTCACTGTCGGCATCTACTTCCTCTATTACGGCCTGATTGCTAATCCCCGCATCGACTTTGCGGAGTACTCACACATAAAAGACGAGGCCCTTCAGGTAGGCCTCGGCCTGTTTTTCCTGCAAGCCTTCTGCTCAGCCGCCTGCCATTGGTTCGGAGTGGTGGCCTGCAAGATCCACGCGGTCAGGATGAGCTTTGCCTTTCCCGTCTCCTTGACAGGCCCAGTCACTCTGATCATAGGCCTTGCGCTTTTCTTGACCAAAGCAGGCAACTTAGATGTGGGCACCCATATCATCTACGCCAACTACACGCCGATCGACAACCCCTTCTTGGACTTTTGCGCTGGTCTGAAGAAGCTGCAGAATAGCAACACCACGTCGGTGGTCCTACTGGAGCTCTCCAACAGCATCTGCAGGACCTCGCTGAACAGCCACTACGCCCTTTGGCCTTTCTCCATGCTTGTGCTGGAGGGATTCTGCATGTGGCTCGGGCTCATCGCGTGCACTTACTACGTCTGGAGCATGAAGGTGCCACGGATCGAGCGAACCTCTCAGCTCTTCGTGCGCCGCCTCTACGAGTCGGCCTTCATTAACCAGTCTCTGCTGCTGAACATCAAGATGAAAGTGAAGTACCCAGACAGGTAACTCGTCTGACTTTACTTCGTTTGAACAGCGCTATGATCTTGAAAAGTAGCCCTTTTCGAACTGGGTTAAGGTTAAATGAGGACCGACCAGATCCACGACGCGAAGCCAGTATAAATCAGCAATTTGTAAACAGGAAAAATTGGAATTGGATTTTTGCGCCACACATTTTTGCTCCATTACAGCAGTTTTAATAATGTGAGCCAAGTAAGGTCACTCACACTGTATTACTATACTGCTGCTGCATCTACACCAAAATAGCCAATTGTCTTTCATTTTACATTTTATTTAAATAGGCAACTGATTTTCCATTTGCAAATTTAAAACAGCAGTTTGGCCCATTAAAAAACTAATATTGTTATTTATTTATTATTGTCATTTTGGCTAATGGCATGTATTGAGCATTTGTGATTCATTTAACCCACATAGTGTACGTTTCTAATTGAAAAGCTACTAAAAATCAGCCAAAAAATCATCAATTGGCCAATTTAACTGTAAAGAAATTGGAAGTTCATGATCAGTGCATCCCAAGTATTTACAAATCTGATAATGATTCCAGAGTGAATTGTCCTGTAATTTACTAATGTCTTGTCATTCAGGTGTAAAAATGAATATCAGTAAAGCTTTAACAGCACTGACCATAACAGCACTGACAAACAAAAATTTCTGAAATATCGTCCACTGCCACTTTAATTTCAAAGTCACATTGTATGTAGAACTTTACAAATATTGCATTCATATTTAATTTTTTTTTTATTTTAAAATGAACATGTTTTCTAAGTAACACCTAAGCTGTTTCAATAGTTTGGGGACATTGGGGAAATGACACCCATACTTTATCCCATGTGAATCAGCCGACCAACCTAAACCTCTTACAATAAAAGTAATCAGAGTTGAATTTTGTTTTAGGTGAAATTTATATGTTCCTTTTCATTTATTTCAGCATTGATGAAGCAGAAAACTGTGTGATTTATCTGTGTGCGACAATGTGGCACGAAACGTACGATGAGATGCTTAAGATCCTCACTTCAATGTTCAGGTATTTCTGTCTTCATTTGCTTATTGTTAGTGTTTATGTTGTTTGTGTAGAGAACGTGGGTCTGTTTTGTGTGTGTTGTAGGTAAAAGTTTGATTAAATATTTTGTTGATTTTCTAAGTGAAAATAAGTCAGCACATCCTGTACAACTTAAAATGTCATTTTCCTGCTAATTTTATATACACGAGTTATATTTATTTGTTTAAGATATTGCAAAAAACTGAAACATAAAAAAATGCATTTACGTTTTTTTTTTTCCCCCAATATGTTAAACTCAGCCAATAAACAGTAATTGTGCATTAAAACATGTCACTTAAAAAAATCAACAAAAACATGGAATTTGTCCAGCGGCGCCCAAACGTTCGCATACAACTGTATATCTAAATCACTTTCTGCTTTGTTTTCAGACTGGACAGGTACAGAGGTGACCCAAAACACGAGCACCAGAATGCTTTTGACTTCGAGTGCCATATTTACGTTGATGACGCCTTCGAGCAAGATGACAAAACTGGAAAGAGGCTTGTTAATTCATATGTGGATGATCTAATACACGTTGTCACGGAAGTGTACAGGTGATAAAATCCTGTCTTTATGTTTGCGTCACATAAACATTGATAACTTCTTTACTTCGTTGTGTGTCTATAGGCTGTCAAAATGCCTGAGTGTTTTAATGGCTACTGCATGACTTTTGATCAATTGTTTTTATAAATGAAATACTTTGAGTTTTAACTGCTTTTAATGAGAACTATTACTGCTGCCTTACTCTCTTTCTTCAGAGTGTTCACTAATAAAGAGCCGGACGAGGTCTCCATCATTGAAACTCCGTACGGCGGCCGGCTTGTGTTCGTCCTGCCGGAGGGAAATATGTTGTACGTCCATCTCAAGGACAAGCAGCTGATCCGAAACAAGAAGAGATGGTCACAGGTGAAGTATTAGGGCTGTGAAGATACACAATATTCACAACACGGTCTGATTTTTGTACCACATTACTACTGTAACATCCTGTTTTTCTCTGTTTCGGCCTTTGTCTTGTTATCTGTCTCACCTGTCTCTTGTCTGTAGCTCTGCCCTCTCATTACTCCCAGGTGTTTCTAGTCTGGTCCATGTCTATTTAAACCCCTGCTTGTGTGCTTTTTGTTAGCTTGGTGTTTGGTTCTCTCAGGCCCTGTATTGGTTATCTCTTTGTTTGTTTTCTAGTTTCTTTGTGTCTCTGTTTTTTGTTTTCTTTATTTTGTTTAGTAATGTTCTATCTTCGTTTCGTCATCTTTGAGGATACCTTTGTGTCATTGGTTTGTATGAAAACCAATTGCCAAACCGAGATAATACCTAGTAAAAGTCGAATTAACATAAATAAGCACTTTTCTTAGAAGGCTAATAAATTTAAGCAAACACAAAATACAACATATAGTATGAGCAAACAGAAGTAAATAGCATGTTGCTTCCACATGTGTATTTTAGGTTATTACTTATATTTGTAATGCAATTCGGGTACTTCTATCACTTGTATTATTAATGTAATCAGTAAGTTCTACATTCTGAGCAATTGCTCATATATATAATGCAATTCAGTAGCTTTTACTTTCTTGTATTACTTGTGTTTAAATGCTATTTTCTTTGCAGATAATGTACATGTACTATCTGCTGGGCTGGAAAGGATATATAGTCAAAAATCCCCAAAAAATAACTGTAAGTTCACTCCTGTGGTGTCCTCTACTGGTACCACATTTCAATACTTAGGCGTAAATTATACAATAAGCAAAAAACATAGTTTTTCATGGTGATTCTTCTCCGGTTTGTCACTAACAGAGGCAGAACAATCCATGCCGCGCTAGTCTCGTATCGCTGGACGGACAGGCTTTCCTCCTGCCGAATTATGACAATGACAGTAAAAGAAAATACATATCAGATGACAACACCTACATCTTGGCGTTGGATGGAGACACAGACTTCCACCCCTCCGCTGTGATCTTATTGGTTGACCGACTTCGAATGTATGCCAGTGTGGGCGCTGCTTGTGGAAGGATTCATCCAACTGGAATGGGTAAGAACTAGTTTTGCGTAATGTACTGAAGGTTTAGTGCTTTTTCAGTACTATAATACAGCATTTTCAATTCTTTATTTCCATACGTTAACACTACGCTGACTTGTTCTGTATATCAGTGCTGTCAGAACAAAATCTTGAATCTCCAAAATGGTAACTTTACAGGAGAAGGAAAAAACATACTTTACTTTTAATGTAAGTCAATGGAACCAAACATTTTTTCAAGTAATTTTGGATTATTTCTTTTGGTCCATTCATCATGAAATTCACACACAATGTGAAGGGCAACAGGCATTTTCAATTTAGGTCAAAAAATGGAGATGCGAAGTTTTGCTCTGATAACAGCGATATGTGACTCACAAACAATACATGCTAATTTGACTCAGATAGGCAGACACTCTCATTAGAATATGTAAAACAGCTCATTAGCATATGGGATGGTGTGTGACCTTGCGCCCTTAGAAGGTATAGCCCATTTAACCTATGTGTGATGAATGTCCGGCTACATCTTATGTCCTTCTCTCGCTGAATATGAAAATCAGAGATGTTAATTAATCTATAACAGTTGGAATATTTCTACGTGTTCAGTCAAGTAAACATTGAGCGTTCACATGATGAGGCATTGAAAATATTTTGCCGTAGATTTTTTCAAGCATTTTGATAGCACACTTGGTATTAGTATAGAAATTTTTTTTTGGCAAAGCTCTCCTGACTAGCTTACATGTGACTGCAGGGCCGATGGTGTGGTATCAGAAGTTCGAGTATGCTGTGGGTCACTGGCTCCAGAAGACAGCAGAGCACGTCTTTGGCTGTGTGCTTTGCAGCCCTGGATGCTTCAGCTTGTTCAGAGGATCTGCTCTGATGGATGACAATGTCCTGAAGCGATATACCACCAAGTCCACCAGAGCTTCTGAGTACGTCCAGTATGATCAAGGTAATCTGCCCTCCTTATCGTTTCACCAGGATGTGTCATGAACAAATTAGCATAGACATGTCATTAACTTATGATTGTGGTATGGGGGAATTTTTTACGCTATTTAGGACTTTATACTGGGGGTGCAACCTTGTTGTGCCTGATACCAGCATCAGAAACCATTGAAAACCATACATGAAGTGAGCAAAACACAGGTGCAAAATCTGAAGACTATCAGGCCTTCAGTTGGGGCCATAGATGGATGGATGGATGGATGGATGGATAGATGGATGGATGGATGGATGGATGGATGGATGGATGGATAGATAGATAGATAGTATTCAAAGCTTGCAACAAACAGTTTTATTTTATAGTTTTATGGCGACTCTTTCTGTTAGGACCAATGGGAGAGCTTGCTTGGCTAAACCCTGATTGGACAATTTTCTGTTTGCCATTTCAAGATCTTAACCCTTTTGTTTCCATCCAAAACTTTACAATACAATAACAGTACTACTGCTTATAAAAAACGTTAAAAATAACGCGCATGGGTCCTTTTGGAGTATGTTGCCTTGTGGCAACATTGTGCGACAATGAGAAGAAATGATGTAGAGCCGTGTTCCCTGAAGTGGTGAGACCTGGCTTGTGAGTGGCTAAATCCAATCCACTGTCACACAATGTTTCTTCTGGGCAACAAACATATTTTTGCAAATTCTCATAACAAAAACTGTTGATACTGAATGTTAAAAAAGAGGTTTAAATGTGCCCACTAAGAGATAGTATGACCTAATACATGCTTTTTATTGACTTACTCTTCTGAACTCTTCCTTTTATTGTTAATCATATTGTTGTCTTTAAATATGTATAATATTATTATTAACAGAGGAAAATTAGTTTGTTGCCCTGAGGCAACATCGTGCAAAAGAGGATTAAAGTTATCGGCTAAATGAAATCTAAAGCATTATAGATGACACTGAAAGCAGTGAAGGAAGAAATGAAATATGTGACCATGTTTGAAAAGAATGGATGGGTATAATGTATGGGAAAGAAAGGTATCAAATGAGGCCAAGATGTTATCTAATAAGTGTAGTTATATTCATATGAGCCCCACCATCCCTGCACCATCGACACTGACCCATGGAATATATGGTCACCCTATTTACATTGCATTTTCAGGTGAGGACCGTTGGCTTTGCACACTGCTCCTCCAGCAGGGTTGGAGAGTGGAGTACAACGCTGCCTCAGATGCCTTCACCAACGCTCCCCAGGAGTTTAAAGAGTTCTACAACCAGAGACGGCGCTGGGGTCCCTCCACCCTCGCCAACACTCTAGATCTCCTACACAGTGGAAAAGAGACTGTGAAGAGGAACACCTCCATATCTATGCTCTACATCTTCTACCAGATCTTCACCGTGGCTTCCTCCATTCTCGGACCTGCCTCAGTCACCCTGATGGTCGCAGGTCAGTATAACCGTGCATTGCGGACCAATTACTGTGGTAAAAGTGATATTAAAGGAACCTTGAAATGCTTTAAAAGGTATTAGGTGGTTTTTCAGTGGTTAAAGGAGCCAAGAGACTAAACAGAACAAGTGTGGAGGACTCAAACCAGCAATAACATTGCTGCAATAACATCATCTGTCAGCTGTTGGCCTTCAGATGAAGGCTTTAAACCATATAATGCAAGAAGAGGATAAAAAAAAATAAATGTCCTAAAGGGCTCTTGGCTTGGATGTACAGTTTTAGAAACAACGTTGTGTGGAGGTTCTTTCAATTTAAAAAGCTTTGTCTTACATCTTCATACAAAAATGATTCTGTAAAGAACCATCCATTTAAACCCATCCATATTTTAGGAAACCACAAGTTGTTCTTCTATTTGTTACAACCCGGTCTGGACACAGGACACCACTGAAACCAGAAAATGGCAGGTTTATTTTCTTCAAAAGTTCAGACACAAGATGGAGTGATGGCTTCAGGGATGAGCGTATGCCAAAATAACAAAAACTATAGGTGGAGTAACTGGCGAGGAAGGATTTGGCAAAACAAAACAAAGGATTTGAAAGCAATACAAAACAAAAATACAAAAAGCTGACCGATCTCCCTGTTTTAAAACCAGGAGAAAAGATGATGGAAAAATCAAACGGCACTCGTCTTCTACTTCCCAAACGTTCACGGAGAATTCCAAAGAATCTGACAAAGATTTCGTGAAATTTACAAGCAACGTGAAACGAAGAGTGTTTTGAAGAGTGCAGGCTGGTCTGGACAGGTGTTCTTCCAGGTCCTGTCAAAGGGAAGAGAGCCCTGAACATTTTCTGTTACGGCCTGGTCTAGGGTTTGGGGGCTCGTCCGGGATATGAACCCGGGACCTCTCGCTTGATTATGTCTGTTTGTGCTTCGAAGTCCTACACAATGGTCGGTAGTTGTGTCTCGATTGAATAGTATTTTGCCAAATCCTTCCACGCCAGTTACTCCACCTATAGAGAGACAGAGAGGGAGGTATAGTACACAAGCGGAGAGGAGAAAAGAGAGAAAACACACAGGCATGTTGACGGCATATGGCAGGGGTCACCAACCTTCCTTCTGGAGATCCGCTCATCAAATCCAGCCTAACAAGGACTTCTGAAGACCTTAATAAACTTCAGCAGTTGTGACAGATCGTAGTTGCAACCAGACTCTCCAGAAAAGTAGATCTCCAGGACCAGGGTTGAGCCGAGATGCTGTGGATATTGATTCGTTAGTTGGCTGGGCTCCAAGCTAAAGTAATCACCATTCCTCATCTACATTTTATGGCTTCTTTACTTACAGATAGTTCCTTATGTTGTTGAAGTATGGGGGTGAAAGGTTTCTGTAGACAAGTCACATTTCTTGCCATGAGGTTTAAGAGACTCGGCCGTCTTTATCTGCCTAATCCCACGTTGTTCAGTCATTCACAATCAGTCACAATCACTATGTGGATGCTCTTCACGTTTATAAAGGTTCTTTGCACTCAAAGCTCTCATTTATAAAATTCCTGAACTACTGAAAGGTTCTTTAGGAAGCCAAACATGCTTTTTTTACTACTGCATCCCTCCAAGGAACCAATTTTGTCACCTCAGACTACGTTTACGCAATACACAGTATCACAATGTGTAGTTTTTCTAAGATTTGGGACAATCCCATTTCTTATTTTTACCCCTACCCCTTGTTTTCCAGTGTCTGTCACCTTGCCTGTTGGAACTGAGTTACAAGGGGCAGTGGTTAAAGTCTTTCCTATAAAATGGGACCCTCAAATAAAAAGAGCATCACTTCATTAACAGCTACCAGCGCTGCTCTGTAGGCGACCCTGCCAGTCTGCAGTGACAGCAGAGGAGGGTAAAGTTCAGCTCCTCACTGCTGGGCTTTAGTTACATTTAGGGAATCACATGCCTTCAAAGAGGGGGCAATTATTTATTATCGCTTACCCCTAATTCTTTGGTGACACAAAGCTGAAGTCAGATATTCACCAGCTTCTTGTTCGAATTTTCCCGTTCCACCTTAAATGGAGCAGAAAACACCCTACCCCTCTATCTAAACTAAAATCGGGACACCGTACCTCTAGGCATGAATGCACAAAACGGAGGGGTAGGGCTAAGTAGTAAGGCGAGGGATGAAATGGGATTGGGCCTTGGTCATCTGGAACAGATGATGCACCAGCACTGACACTTCATTCAAGGAAACAAAAAAGACTCACATTTGGTTGTTGTAATTTGGCTGGGTTCGAGACTGAGTAATAAACACATTTCACCATTCGTCATCTACATTTTATGGTTTCCTTACTTCAAATAGTTCCTTATGTTGGTGGGGTGTGAGGATAAAAGGTTTCTGTAGACAAGTCATGTTTCTTGCCATGAGGTTTTAAGGGACTCAGCCATCTTTATCAGCCTAATACCGCATTGTTAAATCATCCACAGGTATTACAGCAGCAGCTGGACTACATAATCTGATCTATAATCTTGCTAAGAGGTTTGTTCCTTCTTCTCTTTTTAGGGGCTTTCCAGTTTGTGTTCGCTATCTCAGGCACTTTGTCCATCATCATCGCTGTCATACCTCCAATCGTTTATATGCTCATTTGTTTCGTGACAAAAGCCAACTTCCAGCTCACCATAGCGTCCATTCTGAGTGTCCTGTATGCGTTTCTGATGACAGCATCCTTCTTCGCCATTATTGGTAAGTATGTTCAGACTTTTATTTGTCTTGATGTCAGAGTGTTGGTTGAGTGCTGGCTAAGTGTTCATAAATCAATTCTGAAAAAATTTGGACAGCATGTCCAATCTAAGTTGACCTGCATTCAAAGAAAAACAGTACCAAGACATTTAAAGGCTCGTGACATTGCCAAAATATGCATCAGCAAACAATCCAGAAGTTAAAGAGCAGCGTTCCTCAACATGTGCAAGAATATAAGGTACTTCACCTTCTGTGGTGCATAATGTCGTCAAAAGATTCAGGGAACCCACAGAAATCTCTGTGCTTAAAAGGCAAAGCCATTAACCAAAAACTGAATGCCCATGACCTTCAACCACTCAGATGGCACTGCATGAAAAACCGGCATGCTAAATTTACCTTTAGCATGTTGTATCCTGGGGTTTCAGTCATGTGATTTTTCTGTTGCGGCCACCATATTTGGGACCGAATCCCACTTAAACTGACGGAAAGCCACCACATTTGTGTTCTCCTGATATATTTATCTCATACACAGTCCCTCTCCCTATTCTAGAGAGTCTCTCAGAGCATTTAAAAGCACAGAAGCCCACTGGCTTTTTACGTCAGGGTGGGTAAAGGATCCCATGGTGTTCATAAAGAGGAGAAACACTCTGTCATCATAGGAGGAACGACATCAGCTAATTAACACAGATGTGATCAATACTGACCTTTAGATAACTTTAGCTAATGTTATCAGCCAAGAGATAAACAGTCGTCCCCCTAACGGAGCTGCAGACAGCCGGTATAACTTTACTCTCTGTGTCTGGAGATTTAAATGATGTCTGAATGGAGAAACATAAACATTAAATATCAGACTGAATGTTGTGGGTCAGAAAACGACGTCGTGTTTCGACAGACGTGATTCTGTAAGTTTGCTAGTGCAGTTAATTCAGAGTTCAGCTCCAGTCCTGAAACCTCTGCACTGCATAACTGTGAAAACACTGAATTAAAGGTCTTTCGTCGTTCTCGGCTTCTGAGGCGTCTTGCAGGTGAATCAGTCACAGAGCACAGCAAAGTGAAGGCATCATGCAGCGCAGTCACTCCCTCATTCGTCCTTAAAATGGCGGCGACTATACAGTGTGAGGTATATGATGCAAGAATAGATGGTGTGTTGTTGGAGGGTTTGTTTGTTCCCTTTTTTATTGTCTAAAAACAATAAAAAGACCCTGGTTTAAAAATGCTTTGCTTTCAAGATGGATATCACTGTATGTAATACTTTATCAAACTATTGTCAATAAGCAACTGTTTGTCACTGCTTCCACAAAATGTAAGTTAAGGCTGCACTGTGCACAGTGGAAGCTGAATGTCAACAATGTCCAGAACTGCCAACAACTTCTTTGGACTCGAGCTCATCTAAAGTGGACTGATGCACAGTGGAAACGTGTGTTGTGGTCTGATAAGTCAACCTTTCAGACTGTCTGTCGAAATAATGGATATTGTGTTCTCCAAAGAAGAAAAAGACCTTCCAGATTGTTACCAGTATAAAGTTCAAAATCCACCGTCTGTCCTGGCATAGTGGTGTGTTAGTGCCCGCAGCAGGGGTGACATGTTTTGGGTTTTTGTTTACAGGAAGAGCTGTCTGAAATTGTTGCCCATGCAAATTAGTGGTTTGATATGGCAGACGCTGGACTGTGCCTTTGATATACCTGTAACATTCTCACTGTGTCCACAGGTGACATGATAAAGGAAGAAACATTCATCACACCTACCGGGATATTCCTGATCTCCATGACTGTCCTGTACCTGATCACAGCAATACTGCACCCCATGGAGTTCGGCTTGATCATCTACGGCCTCATGTACTTCATCTGCATTCCCAGCGGCTACCTCCTTCTGACCATCTACTCCCTGGTGAACATGAACATCGTCTCCTGGGGCACTCGAGAGTCTAACAAGGACAAAGCGGAGAAGAAGCACAGAGGAGTCCTGTGCGACCGCAACTGCAAACTCTGCTGCTGGGACGTGAGCATCCAGGTCACCCAAGAAACGGAAAATTTAGTCCTCCAGCAAATCCAGCAAGCGGTTAATACGAACGCTCCAGCTGCCCAGACAGAGATGAAGGAGATGACCACGCAAGAAAGTCAAAAACACTCTGAAATTGACAAGAACGCTGCTGAAAACAACAAAAATGTAGCCAAGAAGACAGAAGACACCAAGAAACCTCTCTCCAAACACAAGGACCTGGATTCAGATTCTGAGAAAAGGTAAAAAATATTTACTGAAATGAATCTGAAGCAAGTATAATTCACCTTTTTTTTGTTGTGCACATAAACTTTTGCTCCCAATTAATGGCAGAATGCAACAATTCTTAGTTACAGCGAGGGTGAAAGCAGCATTGAGAAAAAAGACATCGTTGATGACGATGAGGATGACAGCGATAGCGACAACTTCACGTATGACGATCAGGAGGAGGAGGAGAAGGAGGTTGTCCCTGAGAGTGGTGAGTCCAACAAAACCTTAAAATCTGTACATTAGATTAGTATATGGGTACTTGGACTGCACTGACTTGCCAATTTATTAGAAACACCTACACTGTATCTACACTCCAAGAAACACCTACCATATAAGTGCACTTTGTAGGTTTATGAGTACTAAGTGTAGCTTATCTGTTGCTGTTCACTTAATTTATCCCTCCTTGCAAAAAAATGGGACCACCGTAGGACCACTGATTACATACTTGAGTGGTAACTCAGCAATCCCACCAGCATGTTAGCCTGTGTTGGTCTGGAACATGTTTACAGGTCAAGCAGCATCACTGCTGGGTCAAGAATAGACCACCAACCAAATATACCCATTCAACAGCATGCTGTGGTCAGGGCTCCACTCTTAAAAAAGAGAATTTTTTAATAAAGAAAATGGTTCTATATGGAACCTTAAACACTTTAAGAACCTATTGCATGATTAAAGGGTTCTTTGCAATCGTGAAAGGGTTCTACAGATTGATGGAGAACGTGCTGTAGGTGGTTCTTTATAGAACCTTTTTGAAAAGGGATCTGTATAGCGTTAGGGTTCTTCTGCTGTGACAAGCTTGACATTGTAACAATAGAAGAACCCTTTCTGGTGCTATATAGAGCCGTCTCTATCAATCTGAGGAACACTTTCATGATACAAAGAACCCTTTAATCATGCAATAGGTTCTTTGATTGTTTCTGGTTTTGTATGGAACCATTTTCTTTACAAAGGAACCCTGGAAGAACTATCCTTTTTAAGAGTGTAGATTTAAAATTTTCATTATTTTTTGTTTTTTATTTTTTATTTAGCTTTTAAGTTCTGTTTTCAATTCCAGCGTATTATCAGTTAGTTTTAAAAGTTCAATTTTAGTTGAATTTTGATTTTGTTTCAGTTTTTGTTTTGTTTTTTCAGTATTATGGTGAATATTGGGTCAGAAATTGACCGTGTTTCCTTCTGAAGAGTTTTGCAATGCTAAATTTACACAACAGTAGTCCACACTTAGCTAGATTGTTCAAAGACATTGCCAAAGACAAATTGGAATAAATTGGAAACAGCAGAGGACAGTATAGTTTTAATATTTTTGACAGGTATATTTTACTATAATAACCTTGACACCAACAAGGTAGATGTTTCTATAATAAAGTGGTCAGTAAATGTTTATCAGACCGTTTAATTTTACAAATGCATCACATGTTTGACTCTCACTGTTCATTTCACTCGACAGACTGGGTTCGGCCGGTGAAAGATGAATTTCTGAAGAAGCTCACCTATGCAAACCTGAAGAGGAACCTCCAGGAGCAGATTAAGTACACCCTCAGGAACAAGAACGAGGAAGACCTGTGTGAGGAGCTGGTGCAGATGCTGTCGGACACCGTCAACGAGGAGCTGAAGGACAAGGTGGGCCCGGAGGACATCCTTTCTGACAGCCAACTGGAGGAACTGCAGGATGCCCTGAACGAGTCGGCCAGGCGGATCCTGAAGACCAACCGTAAGAAGAGGCTGGAGGCGAGGGTCAAACGAGCTATTGAGAGAACCCTGGTGGCCCCTCAGGTTGAGAAACTCAGTGAGGTAATGATAGCATTGCTGTAATGGTATAATGTGATTACTCAGTTAAGGTAGATTAGTTGATTAAAAAAAATCATAGACTAAAATGGATCTTCTCGACAAATTGGCAGTGGTTAGTTAGCTGTTTGAGTGATAATGCATATTTTAAAAGGCTGATTTCCACACAAGGTTATATGCTTCCAGAGGCAGTTTGGAACGCCGTAGTGACTGATGCAACCTAAAAATAGGCAATTTTATATGCGGTATGGTCCTCAGCAATTGGCGCCCCCGCTCTGTGAGTTTGTGTGGTCTACTGCTTCGTGGTTGAACTGTTGTTGCTCCTAGATACTTCTGCTTGAAATTAAATGAACCTTTTAGCCAACTTTGTCTGAACACATCGGAATTAGACCTCCACATTTAACCCACCCGTGCAGTGAAACACCACATAGACACTAGGGGGCAGTGAGCACACTTGCCCGGAGCGGTGGGCAGCTCTATCCACAGCGCCCAGGGAGCAGTTGGGGGTTAGGTGTCTTGCTCAAGGGCACTTCAGTCACATACTGTCAGCTGTGGGGATCGAACCGGCGACCTTTCCGGTCACAAGGTTGGTTCCCAAACCTCCAGCCCACGACAATAGTATCACTTACAGTTGTCTGGGGCAGATCTAGCAGGGCAAATTTCACAAACTGGCTTGTGGAAAAGGTGGCATCCTATGTCAGTGCCATGTTTCAAGTCACTGAGCTCTTCAGTACAACCCACTGTTTGTCTATCAAGACTGCAAGGCTATGTGCTTGATTTTATACACCTGTCAGCAATGGGCGTGGCTGAAACACCTCAACACAATACTTAGTAGGAGTGTCCACATACTTTAGAATGTTGGCATGATCAGCAATTGTTAAGCCATGATTTATTATATTTCTGTCTTGTTTTTTTTATTCAAATGCAGGATGTTTAATCCAACATTCAAAAAACATTTTTAATATTTTACTCTGACTTTAAAAAACTAATTGGTGATGCCACAGCCATCCGTGAGTGAACATAATTAGTCTTAGCCGTAATTAGCCTCGCTCTTTCTGGGTGGAAACATTGGCAGTTAGCGCACTCTTCCAAGAGCGTTGACCTGTCCAGTGATGTTGTTTTAGCAGCAGTTTGAAAAAGTGAGATGGCTGGCCTGTCGGAGAAAGCTCACGTAAGCCTCGTGTGATAGAAGGAAACCTAATTGGAGGTGGGGTTTGTTTAATTTGGTTAAAATAGTGACTCAATCACTTGTCAAAATAGATTATAGATTACTGTCTAAAGCTAAAATAAGCCCTACACTCTCAGAAAAAAGGTACAACACTGTCCCTGGGGTGGGACCCTCAAGGGTACATCTCAGTACCTGTAGTCAGGGAACATAACTGAACCATAATCCACTGAAATGATATGTTCTAAGCTGTACTGACTCCACACACCCCGTCTCGTCTCCAGGCCTTTATTTTACTGTTCTGTTTTAAAACATTCAGTTATGAAAAGGTACAAATACGAACTTTTAATCTGGAAAAACTTATTTAAGGTTCACAATCAGACCTTAAAACCACTGTTGTACCTTTGAGGGAACATTTACATTGTTTGTACCTTGATGAATGAAAAATGTACCTGCACAGAACCTTTATTTCTAACAGAGTAGTGTAATTGCACTTAATATTTTTGTTGCCATTTCTGTTCCCCATACTCGACCAGGATGAGAACGATTTCTGGAAAAAACTGATCGAGCGCTACCTAGAACCCATTAATGATCCAAAAGGTCATAAGGAGGAAGTGGAGAGGGAGCTGAAGTCCCTAAGGAACAAGGTAGGACAGCTAATAAACAGCATTTCTCAAGCCCAGATCTAACATATGCGGTTCCTGGTGGACCTTTCACGAAACCACGTTTCTCTTCCAGGCCGTATTTCTGTACTTCATTGTGAACGTCCTGTGGGTTGTGGCCACGTTTATCCTTGAAGCCATTGGCAGCGACTTAATTACCATCAAGATCCCTAAATATTTACCCAACGGCTCTTTGTCTGATGAACCGCTGAAGGTGGAGCCCCTGAGTTTAATGTTCCTGCTGTCTTTTGCTGTTCTTCTGATCGTACAGTTCCTGGCTATGCTCTACCACAGGTACGACAGAACTCCACACTACAGATGTGCCTTGAATGACTTTCGCTGTTTTTAATGCTGGTTAGTGAACTTCTCTTATGGAGCTGTTTGCTGAGTCTCATGTCTGTCTTCTGTAACAGAGTGTACACCCTCATCCATGTGTTGGCCTACAGAGGCTCAGAGAAGGACTACAAGGAAAAGGATGAGGTGGGTAACCTCCCTGTGCTTCTAGTTCTTGTTCATTAACATAAGTAGGTTAATGGTAGGTATTTTGGTACTTTGGTACTTTACAGTACTTTGGTATAGACCTACGTGTTAACCAGGGTAAACTGTATGTAGTCTGGTACTTTGGTACTTTACTGTACTTTGGTATTGACCCAAGTCTTAACCAGCATAAATAGTATGTATTTGGGTTCTTTGGTACTTTACAGTACTTTGGTATTGACCCAAGTCTTAACCAGCATAAATAGTATGTATTTGGGTTCTTTGGTACTTTACAGTACTTTGGTATAGACCCAAGTCTTAACCAGCGTAAATAGTATGTATTTCAGTACTTTGTGTAGATCCAAGCCTTAACCATAGTAAACAGTATGTATTGTGGTACTTTGGTGTTTAGTACTCTCTTATACACCCAAAAGTATCAAGGATAGCAACACTAGATAAAGGGAAAGCTTAAAAGAATGTTTTGGCAAAAAATCTAGTTTACCCAACTTTCCACTTATCCGAAATGTAGTTGATCAGTCAAGACATGTTTGGCGTCCAAATTTCGCTACATTAGTTTAGCGCTGGAGCTACAAGGCTAACAGTAGATGCCAATAATCACCCAAATCTCTGTAAATACACCCCAAACCACATCCAGGCCTTCATTAAGGTTACATAAACATGAGAATGTGGTTTAGGACACAGTAGGACTGAGGAATTTGACCTCACATTCACACTTATCACGCGGACTATAGACTGCGTTTGCGATTTGGGTGTCTGTTGACTTCTGGTGTTTGTTAGCAACATTATCGTCATAGCTTTTGGTTTGGCTGACTGACTACAGTGGAAAATTACACCACTTTGCTTCTTTTTCGCCAACCTGTTAACTCTGAGCATTCACTCCTGTTCAGGACGATGAGATGATGATCCTGGAGAATCGGCTTGCAGATGGCGTCGTCATCTCCGGTGAAGACTTTTGACGAAGGACTGAGAAAACGTTCTGTGGATCTTCCACGTTTGCATGTTTACTTACATTTGCACTTTTGGACGTCAGTCTTTCACAAGGGCTTACACTTTTATCGTACAAGTTTTATTGTACTACCACTTACATGGACACATTCTAATCCAATCCAGTTAAAAGTTAGTCAAAAATGTGAAAAATGGGGAAATAAAACGTATTGTAAGGGTCAGAGGAATACTTAAAACAGATTTTTTGATGCTAAAGGCAGATTTTAAGCCAAACTTTACATTCACTGTACTTGAATTTGTCATGTTTAACACATTAGGATTTGACAGTCATGTAGCTATTCTTTTCTATTAAAACAAAAGGGTGGAAAATATTTGATTAACAAGTCAAACAGACCTCGGTGAAAGGAGGATAAGCAATCGCTGGTCATATAATCATTTGCAGGCAGGCGCTGGCTGGTATGTTTATGACTGGGCTTCAGTTATCTGAGGTGTAAACCGTTAACCTAAATCACAGCTCACTGAATGTGTTGTGTCATCGTTATAAAGGTACAAAGTCACCAGGCTCTGTTAGATAAGACGGGCTGGGTTGGTTACTTTCAAAACAAGTCCCTTCAGTGGTGTCTGCTGTTTACTTTCTTAAATTTTTTTTAATTGCTAGCCAGACACTGAAGTACAACATGTTATGATAACTATATTTCCAGCCGGTAAAAGTCTGGCTGCCAAAGATCAGCAACTGTATAACATTGCTTTTAATTCAATGTTTGTTTTTTGATGGAGTGTGTAGATAATGGAGTTTACAGACACACAGTGGTGTGAACGACAAAGTTGCAGAATTTTAGCTGTGCATAACTGTATTTTTATGTCAATAAAATTCATCATGAACATTTTTTTTTGCAAATATTTGTTTTTAATAAACATATAACCAAGTGCAATGTACAAAGCAATAGTGGGGAAAAATGTTTTATATATATATATATATATATATATATATATGAAACATCACAGCCATTCATGTGAGAAAAAAATGACAAGAATCCATATGTTGTGATATTGCTAACTGAAGCCACTCATTGGTCAGTGCAGCAGCCAGGTGTGGCAACATACAGGCTGTTTGCATAGTTTGACGGCTCCGGAAAAGTCCAGTCATGTAATCGCAGAAAGATTTTGCTTACAGAAAAAAGCATAATCAAGAAGACATTACATTATAAAGAACAGCACTGCAATTTTAGCACCGCTGCAAAATTGCAAGAATCATACCTACACTTAACGTCCATCGAGCATGTATTTGGTTTCAGTGTCGCTCCCAAAGTGTTGTGATGCATCTCGCGGGCGCTGCGTTACACTCTGCTTGCTGTTTCTGGGACAGCATTCTGTTTTCACACAAGCGCAGACTGAGCGAAAGGAAAGAAATCAGAGTAAGAGTTTACATGCATTGAAAACCCATTTTGATCTATTATTGCCAGATTTCTAGACTTTAATCTGATCTAAGAAATCAGTATGCCTTTTACATGACTACTTAAAAGTCTGATAATGATCGGATTATTAAGTGCATATAAACACACTCAATGTGAACTAGCCAGGCTAAAGTAGAGCCTCCACAAGGTGTGTGGGTGGGTGAGTGGGTGTGTCTGGATGAGTTCTAACAGTCAACTTTTTGGAACTTTTTATTTGCAGGTTTGACAAAAACATGCTGTAGATGTCAAATATAGTAATATATTACAGTTTATTGTGCTGTCTGCTGATCTACTTAGTGGACTAAAATAGTTATGTTTGACAGCCTCTTTTTACTAATCATATTTGTATTAATGCAAGTATTTTATGTATTTAGATTGGAAAGCTCTTCTGGCTCATACAACATAGAACTGTATCTTATTAAGTGTATTTTGCATTAATTCACCAGACTTTTTAGCGACTGTTACAACCAGTCCCATCCGTCTGTGACAATGAACCCCGTTTATAAGGGTTAGTTTGTGTTCTCATAATTTTTGGCTGAATTGTTCACAAACAGTGAGTGTTGGAAACAAAGCTCAGGTTTTCATTTGTGGTAGAGATGTCTAGGTTGCTTGAGAAAAAAGTTAATAGTTAATTAATCTTTTTATTATTTAGCAAAAACTATGTTACGTTGTGCCCCAATCTCCTCTGCTTCTGAATGTGGCTATACACTACATATCCCAGCAGTCCACACTCTGAATTCTATCGCTGAGGGGAAGTATTTGAATACTCCAGTGTGGCTGCCTCCTGCCGACATACTTGGCAGTTTCCCAGTCAAATGTTTGACCTGTAAATGAGTTTTATGAATGTTACATAAATATATGTAACATTGGTCAACACTGGTCACCCAGTGGGCCAGTTTACTTAATTATAGACGAACTATGTCCGGTTAATTTCAGTAGCTTTTATGGGGCCTTTGTGTCGGTGGTCTCCACCCCTGGTCCTGGAGATCCGCCTTCCTTTAGAATCTATTTCCAACCACAATCTGCCACACCTGCTCCAGCTAATCAGCTGCTACAGATGTCCGTGATTGGCTGGATCAGCTGTTTTAGTGCTGGGTAAGAAGGAGTTCAGATGCAGGTTGGAACTAAACTCAGATGTACTGCAGTGATCCTGGTCCTGGAGTTTTCTACAGTGTCTCGTAAAGGGGAACTCCACCATTTCTACAAATTTTCTGTGTAATTCACTGGTTGAGACGTAAGCAGAGTCATTCAGAGTGGTTTGGTCTGAAATGGTTCAGATTTCTTTACAGTGATGGTGATGGGTCGCCATGACTACAACACAAATATAGACACTTTATTTACTACCAGGGAGCCCACTCGTGTCTTCCAAACCACTCTGAACAACTTTGTTCACATCTCAACCATTTAGTTATGGAGAAATTTTGAATAATTGGTGGAGTTCCCCTTTAATCCTGCTCCTGATGACCCACTGCACTGTTTCAGGGACTCCTTGATTCAACACACCTGATCCAGCTTGTGAGTCGATTATCGAGCCTTTCATGAGCTGAATCAGGTGGGTTGTATCAAGGAATACTTAAAGGGCAAATCCACCAATTTTTCAAAATATCTGAATAATCTGTCCTTGAGATACAAACAGTTGTTTGATGTGAAATAGTTCACTGTAGATGAACTTGCAGACTCAGATGTCTTTACAGTAGTGGTGATAGGAACCAGGGGTCACCATGACTACAACACAAATATAGACATTTTATTTACTATCCAGAACCACCAGTGAACCTACATGAGTCTTGAGTTTATATGGAATGTTGTTGATGGTTGAAGTTATAAATCTGAAAAAATAATTTTTCTTTGGTAACTATTTTGCCTTAGAACAACCTGCATGTATCCATCCACCATGAATGGATTGAAATAAATGGATTAAAATACATTCTTAAGCAAAACTTTATCACAAAACTATCATAAAACAGTGTCTCAGTCATCAGGCAGCGCATTAACAACCATTTAATGTAGTAACTTTCTGTGAGGGAGCTTTTAGAGGGGGACGTCTGGTTCCTATCACCACCACTGTGAACAGTTCTGACTCGGTAAGTTTCTCTAGAACAGAGCGTTTCACACCAAACCACTCTGAACGACTCTGTTTACATCTCAACCACTTAATAATGTAAAATTTTTGAAAAGTTGGTGGAGTTCCCCTTTATGTCTGCGCAGTTCTGTGGGTGACCAGGAGCAGGATTAAGCTTCTGTATTTTTCCTGCTCTATCAAAGCAGTTCTCAACAACACTGGAAACCTACAGCCCTGCTGGTTCATGTATTCCCTCCCCAGCACACCTGATCCAACTCAGTACCGGACGATTGAGCCCATCATGAGCTCCATCAGGTGCATCAAGGTGGGGAGAGTTTAAACCACTTCTGCTTTCAAGTGCTTTTTCAAGGGTGGCAGTTTTCTACAGGCAGAAACTGAGGTGCGTTGATCTTTGATCTGTCTGCTTTCCTTGATTTGGTCTGATCTAGTAGTCATATGAAATGAAATGAAGAGTGTTAATAGTGAGTCTGTGCTGCAGTAACAGCCTCTACTCTTCTAGGAAGGCTTTACACTCGATGTTGAACATTGCTGTGAGGATTTGATTGAGAATTAGTGAGGTCAGGTACTGATGTTGGATGCTCAGTTCTGAATAACTCCAACTCATCCCAAAGGTACTGGATGGAGCTCCATCACTCCAGAGAACACAGTTCCACTGCTCCACATCCCAATGCTGGGGGGCTTTATACCCCTCTAGCCCACTCTTGGCATTGGGCATGGTGGCATCAGACCTCAAAACCTTCTATCTCCATTTTTGTCGTTTTTCAGTTTTAAAAAAAGCCTGTTGCCCTTAATATTGTGTGTAAATTTCATGATGAATGAACCAAAAGAAACGGCCCAAAATGACTTGGAAAGACATCTGGTTCCATCGACTTACATTAAAAGTAAAGTAGGTCTTTTCCTTCTCCTGTAAAGTTACCATTTTGGAGAGTTTTGTTTTGACAACAGCGAAATGGTCAAATATTGTAAAATGAACACTTTGTTATTCATCAATTTCATCTCTGCCATCTCTATACAATCAAACCTGTGTCTGGTAGTAGTTTGTAAACTTGAGTGAATAGTTTAAACAGCCTGAAACAAAATCTTGCTTTGTGGTTAACTAACCAGAACTATTATCAGTGTAACCTAGAATACCAATAATAATAATAAAAACAGAACAAAAACAGTAATACTGTGCACATGGCAGCCCGGTAAAAAGAGGATGTACTTATCTTGCAACTATTATCCTGTTCTACTTAAGATATAATACACTAAGCTTTTGTTTTAAACTACTGACTCCGCCCATAAATGAACCAATACAAAGCTCAACTAGTGTCAGACACTGCAACAATACAGTGTTTAAATATAATATTTTAGGAAAATAAATCACACTCCACACAATTACATCATTCTACCATCTTGTTTTGTCAATTTTAACACTATAAAGTTTGGTCAGTAGGGGGAGCTGTGCGCTCACCCCTCAAACTCAGCCATTGGCTCATGAGTCGTTCAGTGCTGTAGTTTTATAGGCTACTGAAACATTGCATGAATTAGCGTGGGCTTTATGGTAAAGATATGTAAATGAGGTGCTGGTAGGCTGGCGCTTGATTTCACGCACCGAAGCCGATTCATCATCTGTGCTCAAATCTCCACTCATTTCCATGTCGAACTAAAGATTCATGGATCGGACATACAGCAGTTACGTCATTAAAGTCATTAAAGGTGGTCAAGGCAGTAAATACAACTCAGTAAGAAGAGCTACAGGCCAGTGTGGACAACTTTTATTCACTGTATGATCTGAAGTCAATTTGATACTCGCTGCACAAACACGGTTTGGAATAAATTACTTAAATGACAATTACATACACCGTTCCCTTGATGTGTACCATTTAAAAATAAAACAAAAATTAGGTCAAATGTGCATAACAGTCCTCTAAAAATTGACACCGTTAATTTTATGTACACTCCATTTCCAATTTTCCAATTTTCCCATCCTGTCTGATAGCCTGTGCTGAATACCCTGAATCAGTTCATTATTCATTTAGTATGAGATCAACTGTTTAAGTATTTCCATCATTAATCAGTAAAACATTGTGTTGTGTTGTCTGAATAATCCATGTTGAGTTAAAACAGTGCGTCAGAGAGCTGCGATCTGAATGGAGCCTGTTAATCCCAGAAATCCTCCGCGCTCTATGGCTGCTCATCATTTGGCCTCCTTTTTCCCCATGCTGCGGAAAGAAAAGGACAGAATCAGAAAGAGTGAAGACAAACGCACTGTTGTTCAAGAGTTTCACAATGTAAAACCAAATTAATTGTAAAAAATGTATAAAATGATCCTAATGTGTTGTCATGTTCAACTGCATAGGCTTCAGATAGTTAATAAGACACTAAGAAGCTGTAAACATAAATAAAGAAATGTTAGATGCGTCCAGAATGATGAACAGAGCTGTGGAAATTATGAAAGATTCATTAAAAAATGTATCATGAATCAAATCACAACTGATAACGAGACCAAAAAATAATGTCTGATAATTAGCGTATTATTTATGAATTAATAAGATAACATAATCCTTTTTCTCAGTGTTACAGCAGCAAAAAGAGAGCAAGGAACTCAAGAAAAAGAAAATAAGTAACAAGAAGAGAATCAACAAGCAAGTAATTAACTTTAAGTACTTAAGGTTTTATACAGTTTGTTAAAATGTATGAAATACCTAACGAATTAAACATCTAAACTACCTTTTGGAGAAGAGCCTGCGATATAAATTTAAATGTAATTACATCCACACTGTATAAAATATTGTATATAAAATCATTAAGATGGCAAGTGATTCCAAACTTTTGAACGGTGCTACTTTAGACTTTCCCAACAGGTCTAAGACCTAAAATATCATTTTAAATATTCACTTTGTCTGCAGTTAGAATAGGATTTCAAAATTTTCTGGTAAAAGGAAACTAAAAAACAAGATTCATGTCCTGTTAATCCCTTAAAATCCCAGACTTATTACATACTAGGCTTATTATTCAGTAACTACAGGGACTTCAGTGCAAACAGGCTGACCTTAGTGTATAGAAGTGAGTAATAAAACTCTGGGTCTGGCTGCAGGCACTGACCACATAAGGGGTTAACTCAGTCAGGAAAATGTGAAAATTGATCCAATGTCCTGTAAATTGGGCCTAGTAAAAGGCCTGTATTACATAACATCATGTAAAAATGAATTAGGACTATTTTTGGTATAAACCCAGAGAAATATTGTAAGTGGATGTTACGCTGGACGCTATAATATGCAATCTGTGTGGCTTAGATGGCCCACATGCAGGATGCGGCCCATTTAAGCCACTGAGATCTGTGCTTTGGTGTGCTGTCATGTCATTGATGCACATGTGAACTTTACTGGAGCGTTCAATGTTCTCAAATCTCAAACGCTAATTCTTTGAAACGTTCTGTGAGTCAGTCAGTAGTTTAGCAGCTGTACTGTTGATGTAAATGTTGAGGATGTTGTCAGATGTGAGTCACGTACACAAGTCGTGGAAATGTTTTAGAAAAATCCGGGAAAGTGATTTCCGAAGCAGAGCGGCGCTCCTGTAAGGCAGCTGAGCTCTGAGAGAAAACGATGGGGTTGTAACGTTTAAATGTGCAGCATCTTACTTGTACTTGATGAGTCTCCCTCCCTGGATGAGCTGTGCCGTTTCGTTGGTGAGGTGACAGGCGAACAGGAGCCAGTTCCTTGGCTGCACTTTGTAGGCGAACCTCATGAACAGCAGCGAGTAGCAGACGAGAGCTGGAGGAACACGGGAACAAGAACCAAGAGTCAAACGCTGTGGAAACCACAATAAAGGAGCCGCCAGCTTCCCCCAAACACGCTGTCTAACGTGAATGAGGGCTAAAGGGTACTGAGTAGAGTGGGATCATCAGTGATTCGCTAACACTCATTGGCTTTCATCCCTCATTAGCATTTATAATAATTATTATTACTTCTACAAGATTTTAGGTGGAACATTAACACATTTACAGTAACTAACACTCAACTACAACTGAAAGCAATAAAATAAAAAAATGCATAGCTTATTTTCATCAAACTCACTTTTAAAAATTGCATAATTATGTAATTCATGTACATTTACGTTTTAAGCTCTGTCTATTTTATCTGTTACTATTATTTTTCCCATCTGAATTGTTCCATGAGATTGTGTTTCTCTGCTGTATTAGAGCTGCTTTCTCTGAAAAAGCCTCCACTGTAGGTTTCCGCCACATTATCCGGTGTCGATAAAGTAATATTTTGGCTAAAGTTGAATAACAGAAGGCCTTTAACTAATATTTTAAAATTTATCATGAAAAATAAACAAATTCATAAAAATATTACTGACAATTTCCATAGCCTACACCGACTTTTTGAAGCATATTTTTTTGCAAAAAACATTTTTAGATGGAAAATTAGCTTTTGTTACAAGCAGAGGTGGGAAATATGGCAAAAATTTTATATCGTGATACTTCAGAAATTTTCACAATATACGATATGTCACAATATTTACTTTTTCAGACATCTGATCAGCTGGAACAGAGAAAACATACTATCAAGAACTGTGAACATGATTTTTATTTAATATTTTGCATACTGTGCTGCACTAAATCCAGTTAAACGGGACTAATTTTGCTCTCTTCATAATGAAACAGCTGGTCAGTGCTCAAGTATTGACGGTATTCACGATGTTCAGAAAAGCATATTGTGACATAATTCATCACAATAACGATGTATACTGTAATATCGCCCAGCCCTAAATACTGGCATTGATAAAGTGCAGGTACTAATACACGAGTACAGATGGATTAAATGCATAATATACATGATTAAACCTGTTTTCTTCCTCTGTATCACTAATCTTTAGCTGATGTTTATGAATTTATGTTCTTTTCACATTATTACAGAGCAAAGTGACTGAGACTGAGAGTTCTGTACAGTCCAGAGAGAAAACTCAGCCTCTTCTTTAGTGCACTGGGAGCAGTGAGCTCTGCCAATGCCATAATTTTCACCCTGACGTCAGATGATTTAAGTCTGTTTTATGGCTGCGAAGGCGTCAAAATGACTGTTTGGGTTGAAGAAAAGAAGCAATGCAAGACTGAGGAGGTGCTAACAGTCGCTCCTGATTGGAGCTGAGACGGGAGTTGTCTGAGCTTCTGCTATATTTGGTTTCAGAGAAATGACAGAGGGCTCGTTCAACACCTCCCGCTGGCTGACGGCTGAAACCCTCCACAGCAGAAGGGGGGCAACAGCGTCAGATATCACGCTTCTCTGTAAACGCTGTTGTTTAAGCAATTCAGCCATAAAAAGTAGTTTTTGTACAACTTGGACTTTAGTTAGTGTCTCACTTACCGAAGGTCATTCTTCCACTGATAATCTCCGGACTCTTCTTCATGTCAGAGATCGCAGCAATGGGCAGCCCCCAGTTCGCTACCGGACCCCAGAAATGCTGAAAACAATAACAGTAACATGTGAAGCAGAAAGTCGTGGACAAGTTTGACGTTGAGTTAAACTCATCCTCTCCACACAGAAGACACTTAAATATGGCTTTTTTTCTTATTTTCTTCATTTTTGTAATAGGAACAAATATGACATTGCATATAAAATGTGCCATAACTTTTGCACAGGCCTCATTTTATTTCACTTTTTTTTACTATCATGAATTAATGAAGAGTATCTGGACATTTTTGAAGTACTTAAATGTCTATGGCTAAAAAATTAATCTAATTAAAAAAAAAAAAGTATTTATTTTTATATTGAAATCGCAATTTGAGTCCATTTTCAAATCGCAGGAGCCGCGATTATTAATTACAAAGTACATTATCAAAAACGTCTCAAGTTTTAAGAGGTAAAATTTAATCTTTAAAAAAAAATATTTAAATTTTGATCACTTAAACTGCAAAAATTTAGAAAAATAATCATAATTCAATGAAATTGTTCAGGTTTATTTTTAATTATTCAATTTAATTATTTAATTATCAAAAGAAAAAGAAGAAAACATTCAAGTTTGTCATTTTAGTCCCCTTATTTGTTGTGTCCTTGAGAATAATCCAGCAGACCTGCGCTGTTTATTGTTTATCTGCAAATAAACAGTAATTGTGCAGGAAAACGTGCTGAAGTCACTTAAATTCAGTAAACCATCTCGTTTGACTGGAGCACGACTGTATATCCTTTAGTCACGTATCACGATCCTTTTAATCATAAATGTCTATGAATGCACCCAAACTTAACCATCTTAAGTTAAATACTTCTAATTTAACTTATATTAATTTATAGTACAGTGGCCCTAAAGAGTATCTGGACATTTTTGATGTAATTCAATGTTTTAATCTTTAAACTGCGTTGGAGAACTAAGTATCAACTACGGCTGAAAGATTAATTAAGAACGTCTCAAGTTTTAAGAGGTAAAATTTCACGTAATAACTCAGAGCTGTATATTGTCTGTAGAGATAGACCAATCAGAGGCAACCAAACCTCCATGTGTTGTGACATCACAACCATAACTTAATGGCAGTCTGGCTCACTACATTCAGGGGTCAAACCTCAAGCCAGAAAAGTGGATATTCTGGCCTTCTGGGTTCAAAAAAATAGATCTGAACCTCAATTAATAGAAAATAACAGCAATTTAAATCACAATATTAGTCAGAAAAATCATAATTAGATATTTTCCCCAAATCGTTCAGCCCGAATGTCGACCCAAGTGGTACTGATTTTAAACAGACCACTCCTAGACTCCTGTTTTGGGCAGTACAGTCTTTCAAAAGGTCTCTGATGTTCTTGTTTGAGCAGTTTCCTTTACAGACGTCTGCAGGTTTGCATCGTGAACACCTTCTGAGCTCATTATCCTAACAATGAACTGAGAGCACTGTGAGAAAAACAGGCCCAGACTTTCACATTTCTGCCTCTTTACAGCAGCCTTAGTGCAGCCTTAATGTTTACCACTGGTTAAAGCTGTCCAAATACTTTTGGGCCCGCTGTATATCAGCAGTGTGCTGTTGCATAACCAGTACGCTGATTTTAGGTGTGCGTTTGGTCACTACGAGGCTTCAAAGTCTCATCCGTCAACCTTTCACACACTTTTCGCTCTGAGCCGTTTGGGTACGGAGAACAAAACCTCCTGTTTGTGGTTAATAGATCAAACAAACCACACGCAGGTTTAAAATACACATATAAATCCAAGCCTGCAATGTTTCTGTACCCCTTTATAACCACACTACAATCACAATTAGCTACTGATTCTAAGATCTGGCTGCCTCAACTCTGACCAAAGCCACTGTGAAATCAGTGTGTACCACTACTCAGTGTGTACACGACTGACCACATTCTGGGTCATTCTCACGCAACAGCCTTGAACTATGTCCATAAATATCTGAGTGTCATAATGAGCATGCAGATACACAACAATCATATTGTTCAACAGACCAATTGGAGCTCTATATATGGTACAGCCAAATGCTAAATTCTGTATTTTCTATTTTACACTAATTCTCATTACCGCATACCTGCTTCTCATTACCGTTATTTATCTTTTTTTTGCTTTTTTAACTAAGAAAACATGAGTTTGTACCACATTTACCTGTTAAAGAACATAAATGTACCCCATTAAAGAACAAGATGTTACATGGCACAGTGGAAAAAAAAATGTGTTACGGTAATGACATAAAAAAAATTGCAAAATACAATATTTTAGAAAATATATATGCGTGTGGCTGCAACTATGGGCAGGTTTGGCTGACCAAATTTTTAGAAAAACAGTGAAAATGGCTTTACAGCACAGTGTTGAGTGTTGCGGTAAGGACATGTTGTGGTAAAGACTCTTTCACTGTTTTAAAGTACAGCATGTCTTGCAATATTAGCTTCGGCAGGCAACTTTGAATATATTTGAATTGCGGTATTGAGAATTTGGTCAATTAAATTACGTCCAGAAATATTTGGGTGTCATAATGATCACGCAAATAAACAAAACTGATATTGTTTAGTAGACCAAGTGGAGCTTATTACGATACAGCAAAAAGTTAACCTTTTTTTAATATTAAATCTCATTACCGTTACTCATTTTTGCTTTTTTTTAAATGAGAAAACATGAGTTTTACTATGTTTGCCTGTTAAATAACTTGAAATGTTCCCCATTACAGAACAAGACAGCACAAGTGAATATAAAAAACTCATGGTTACAGTAATGACAAAAATTGCAAAATACAATATTTTAGAAAATATATATGCGTGTGGCTGCAACTATGGCCAGTTTTGCCTGACCAAATTTTTAGAAAAAACAGTAAAAATGACTTTACAGCAGAGGGTTAAGTGTTGCGGTAAGGACATGTTGTGGTAAAGACTCTTTCACTGTCACTTTGGCAGACAATAAATATATTTGAATTGCGGAGTGGAGAATTTGGTCAATTAAACGGTAAAACGTTACTAAAATAAATTGAATTCAGTGAAACTGTACAAGTTTATTTTTATTATTTCACCAGACATCACTGTATATGAAAAGAAAACAGAAGAAAAGTTTATTTGTTTAAGTTGGGTCCCAGTATTTGTCGTGTCCTTGAGAATAATCCAACAGATCTGTGCTGTTTACTGAATAATCTTTGTTGCTTAGCGATCACAGCTTACTATAAACAAACCAGTGTTTATACTGTAGTAACTGTTTACTGTTAAATCCAACAACTTACTGCATGTGGGTTTACTAGATCACTGTGTCTTGTTACTGTTTTATAAAGCTTTACTCTACTATAGTGAAGCTCAAAGTGAATGAAGAGCAAACAAAAGGTTTTAGCATATACAGGGAAAAAGCAAACAGCAATCACTCCTAATCCACTAAGCTCTTCTATTAGATTTCAAAGCTTTTAATGGTTCGGCATTTTGTTCCAAACCTTATTATAGGGGATTCTTCTAAATGTCTGCATAATTAAAAGGTTGAGATGTAAACAGAGTCGTTCAGAGTGGTTTGGTGTGAAACGCTCTGTTCTAGAGAAACTTACAGAGTCAGAGCTGTTCACAGTGGTGGTGATAGGAACCAGACGTCCACCTCTAAAAGCTCCCTCACTGATAGTCACTACATTAAATGGTTATATAATGCACTGCCTGATGGCTGAGACACTGTTTTACGATAGTTTTGCCAACATTTTGCCCTAAAACCTATTTTGTCCAATACAATTATGGATGAGGGATACATGCCGGGCGTTGTGAGGCAAAGTAGTCCCCAAATAAAACTTATTATTTCAGATTTTCCACTAATTTACCATCATCATCATCCATATAAACACTCGGAAGACTCGTGTTGGTTCACTGGTGGTTCTGGATAGTAAATAAAATGCCTATATTTGTGTTGTAGTCATGGCGACCCCTGGTTCCTATCACCACCACTGTAAAGAAATCTGAACCATTTCACACCAAACCCACTCTGAATCACTCTGTTTACACGTCAGCGAAAGAATTATTGAAAAACTGGTGGGATTCTCCTTTAAGGTCATTCAAGGACCATCTGCTGACAGTTTCAAAACAAATGAAAATTTCTTTATGAATGATAAACCTTTAAAAATATATATCCTGTGTTTAAGTTCATTTTGACCTTGACACAGTTAGCTTAAGTCTTTATTCCCCAATCTAAAGAGCACAAAGTGAAAAGGTACATCATGATAAGAGTCAGAAAACCAAACCAGCTTAGTAAAGAAAATACTTACCGTGCTGAGGCCGGCGAAGCGCCCAGAGGCAGGACGAAGGAGGACGGCCATGGAAAAATATCAAAATACACATGTTAAGTTTAGCACAGGAAAATCCACATCTGCTCTGTATGTTCTCTGAGTGTGTCTCAGCCCAAATCAGAGGACCTTTTTTTTGTTTCAGGTCATTTCTTTCAGAAATTCAATTCCATTTCAGCCACTTAAAACAAAAATACTCACCATGTAATTATTATTTTTATTAAGTGGATTTCTATGACATTATTTTGAAATTTAGTCATTAATTTGAGGACCTTTCCTTATTTTGAGATATATTATTGTCATTATTTCAGGAGGTCTTATGCTTTTGAGATGTGTGTGTGTGTGTGTTATATATATATATATGTATATATATGTATGTATGTATGTATGTATGTATGTATATATATATATATATATATATATATATATATATATATATATATATATATATATATATAAAACACACACACACACACACACACATACGTCTCTGATATAAATATTTCTGACAATAACTCCAAATTATGAGAAAGCATATCTAATTAATATGTAATTATAAATGTAACTGCTATATTGAGGGTGTCTCAGTGTCCAGTGTACTCAGTGAGATAGTATTTCAAATTAATGACTCAGTATTGTAAAATACAATAAATAAACCAGTTCACCTAATAATGAAAAAAGTCCTAAATAAACAAGAATAAACAATCTTCTTAACTTGAGCCAAATGTACAAATATGCGCATTTTCTTATCTTGATGCACTGACGCCAAGCGAACCTGCTGTTCCTACTAAAGCTTTTGAAGGGCAACTCCACCGATTTGTAAAAAAAATAAAAAATCTGTATAATAACATTATTAATATGGTGGTTTTGTATAGTAAATAAAGTGGCTATATTTGTGCTGTAGTCGTGGCGACCCCTGGTTCCCATCACCACCACTGTAAAGACATTCCAAGTCTCAACAATACTAACAAACCACTCTGATTACATCTCAGTGACTGGATCACTCAGATGTTTTGAAAAGCCGTTTCACCTTAAATGAAGGCAGGAGTGCGACCCCTGCAGGCGGGTACGCGGAATATCACCCAGAGACATGCCCTTCAGTTCGGTTAAAGACTCGGTTAAACGGTTTCTAAAATCACACTTGTACTCGAGGTTGAAGTTGGCTTCTTATTCGAATTTCCCCGGTCCACCTTAAATGGTGCAGCAGTTATATTCTGGAGCCTCAGGCGTCTGAATGCAACTGCTGGTCCATTTAAGGTAGAACGGGGAAATTCGAATAAGAGGCTGGTGAATAGAAAGCCAACTTTAGCCTCGTTGTCTTTAACATTATATGGGAAGTCTTGTGTGTTTACTAGAGAGTCCTGGAGCAGAGACACACGGTACTAGATAACTTAACCTCAGCTGAGTTCTACTGTTCCCCGCGGACGGGCAGTTTTCGGTTAGCACGCCGCTGCTAACCGAGCTGAACTCACCTCATCAGATATTCCCGGAACTCCCTGCTGCGGAGATGATCCACAGCCTTGCGGGCTAAAGTACCAGCCATCGTTTAAAGCGGACAGGACCCGAACTGAGAGGAAAAACAGCCGCCGAGGCCGACAGTCCTGCACTGGAGGGTGACAGCAAAATAGAGGACAAACCCGTTCCGCCTTTCGTGACACCAACAAACCGGGCCACATCCTTGGTGTGTCAAAATAAGAGTCACTCTTACCGCCACGAGGCCTTGCTGAAAAAAGACACATCAGTAAAAACTTGAGGGGTTTGCTTTCTAATAGGAATTGCCTTATTATGCACTGTTTGAGGGCTGGATTAATCATATTAAGACACAACATAGGGAACCGTTTGAGATTTATCATTAAATAAAAACTGGAACCCGAGAGATCATTAATAATGAGTTGAGAGAAAATATTCTCAATATATGTTATTTTCTCTTATGTTATTTTCTTAAGGTCTAAACCATGTTCATTGTAGAGTTTAAGCAAATGGCAGAAAGGTGAAACTGGTCGCACTCTCATCTTGCCCGATCACTTCTTTGTTTGTATTTAAATGACCCTTTGTCTCACGACCTTAAGGTGATACAATCAACCCCCCTTTATCTCTACCCCCTACATCTCTATACATATCCCCCGTCTACAACCCCTCCTCAAAGTCCTTTTGTTCCTCCTTCCCCCTCCTTAGTTTTTCAATGTATATAAGGTCCTTCCAAAATATTCTTGTTAGACTGGACTGCAGACTGGACTAGACTAGACTGGTGACCAGACCAGACTGGTGACACACTGATGACCAAGCTGTGCCCGTGCATGACTGTCTGCATGTACGTGAATAAGACTAGACTTCTGATCCTGCTGATTGACTGCTGATCGACCACGCTGTACCCATACTCTGTATGTGGAAATAAACTCCAGTCAACGCTGAAGCTCCAGTCTCCTGACTCTTCTTGCCGAATTTCTAACATAGTAATGATTCACACCTGAGTGAAATAAATAAATATGTATATATACACACAAATATATATGTCTGACACATTGTTTTATGATAGTTTTTTGAAAAGGTTTTGGCTCAAAGTGTATTTTTTATACTTTATGCTAACAATGTTTGCTATCCGGTGTCGACCAGAGGAGGATGGGTTCCTCTTCTGAGTCTTGGTTCCTCTCAGGGTTTCTTAGGCAGTTTTTCATTGCTTGGACCCGTAATTTTCTTTTTTCTTTAATGCTCATTTTTCTGTAAAGCTGCTTTGGGACAACACCTGTTGTAAAAAGCGCTTTGTAAATAAATTTTGCTTGCTTGCTTTTTAATGAGAGGGATACATGCAGGGTGTTGTAAGACAAAGGAGTCCCCAAAGAAAACTTTTTCTCAGACTATTTTTTTTTTTAACTCAGATTTATGACTATTTTACCATCTTCAACGTCACATGTAAACAGTTAGAAGACACCTGTAGGTTCACTGGTGGTTTTGGATAGTAGATAAAATGGCTATAGTTGTTTTGTAGACATGGTGACTCCTGGTTCCCATCACCACCAGTCAGTAAGTTTCTCTACAGTGAACCGCTTCACATCAAACCACTCTTAATGACTATGTTTACATTTCAAGGGCTAAATTATTTAGATAATCTTGAAAAATTGGTGGAATTGCTCTTCAATAGCAGCCCGCAGCAACCAAATATACTATAGTACTGAAAGAACCAAAAATGTTACTATAAATACAAATATTTTCTCTGTAAAAAAATGCTTTTTTATCATCTATTAAGAATAATGTAGTAGAAGTTCAACCTGTTTGTTTACTGTCACACTCATGGGAGCTGAAAGTGCGCCTGCAGTTCCTAAACAGAGGGGACAGAGGGGAGGAAAGGTTGCCTCTGAAGTTAGCCAGAGAATATGAAGAGAGGGGCACTGCCACTTAGTAATGATTTCTGGGTTTATCTGATGCTAGAGGGCGCTCCCGAGCTAGTCCAAAATGAGTGGGTTAATATAGAGCATTTGAGCAAAATCATAGTTTGTAAATGCTGTCGGAAGAAAACTTGTATCTCCAAAATGGTGACTTTACAGGAGAAGGAAAAAACATACTTTACTTTTAATGTAAGTCAATGGAACCAGAATTTTACACACAATGTAAAGGACATGCTTTTGAACTCATTATAGAACTTTATGTACGTCCATGGAGTCAGAGAGTGCAAACTGCTTCACTCAGCCAATGATCTATTCCGCTCACCAACCAATGAGCACTATGTAGCAGTAATGCAAATGAAATATATATACATATTTATATTGTGTGTGTGTATAGAGATATATTTGTAAAGTATATGTTGTTAGTGACAATATATTGCATATTTATACTGTCTTTCTTGATTTTCTTATTGGAAATAGGTTAACACATTTTCTGCAAAGGATACACTTCTGTACATTTTAATGCAATTACAATTAATATGTACACTTTTAACGTATTGGGAAAAAATGTAATGTGGCATGTGCCTAAACTTTTGCACGGGCCACATCTTAAGTTTTAATTTGTCCCCGTATTTTAAAGTCTGCAAATAAACAATTATGAAGCCGCCATAGATGTATAACTTATTTTCAACAGATATGTAATGTGAACAGGGGTGCCCAAACTTTTGCATAAGACTGTACTTTGCATTTATATCATCCAGTAGTAAATGGTGTGGTGCAGTGGCGTTACTTGGCTTTACCTCGTATGGGTTTTATTGAATAGCTTCTGACCTTGGGTTGCCAGCTATTCAGAATTAACGGACATTCATAAAACCATTCATATTCGTTTCTACAGCCTGCGATCAAACCCGTTTGGCGGCTGCCAAATGTAGCCCAGAAATACACACTCCACAACTGCATTTTAAATCTGGATTAATTTAGAGGGAAAACTGTGAACCTGGCAACCCTGCAGATGACAATGTAGAGCGAATAGATGGGAGAATAGTCCACTGTGGAAAGAAAGTGGGGGATAGTAAAATAACATTGTAATAATGCAAATAACACGTGTATAACAATCAAGGCATTTGTGCACAATTTATTCCTTTTAATATTCTCATTTATCACTCAGTTATTTATGCTTTATTTCATGTTTGATAAATGCTTTTCTCATGTCTACCTCCCACCCCCACCCCCCGACATGTAGGCTGTAACTACACATTTACCAAAAAGCCACTACTGGCTTGCTGTCGTCCTCGGGCGCCTTTACTGTCCTGTCTTAATCCTCGACAAACCGGTTTCAGTCTTGAGCTTGCGGCTTTGGCCTGTGGTTGAATAGTGTGACGTCTTACACTGACACTCCGTCTCTGCGAGAGGAAAGACCTCTTCTTCGTTTACTGTCTCAATGTACGTGAACCTCTCCTGTTCTCTGGTGTCTTCTATGTGTTCTTCTCTGTTCTCGGCCTTCTGCTCATCACGGGTTCTCGTCACTTGCAGTAGACGTCGTACTTAAGTCTGGTGCCGAGTCTCGTCCCCTCAAGATGCTTCTTGAACGCAGCGTCCATTTGTTCGCTCTGGGCCTGGCTGAAGTGGTTTCTCCAATCTCCGACTTCACCTGAGGGGAGAATATCCATAATAAGAGTCAGCGGTTCAGAAAAAAAGGAAACCGGCTCTGGGGCAGGACCCCTCTTGTCACTGGGGTGGGACCCTCAAGGCTACATCTCAGTACCTTTTAGTCAGGGAACATAACTGTACCATAATCCACTGAAATGATATTTTCTAAGCTGTACTGACTCCACACACCCCGTCTCGTCTCCAGGACTTTATTTTACTGTTCTGTTTTAAAACTGTTACATTATAAAAAAGGTACAAAAACACCCCTTTCCCCTGGGACAAAACTTATTTAAGGTTCACAATTAGACCTTAGAACCACTGTTGTACCTTTGAGGGAACATTTACATTGTTTGTACCTTGATGAACAAAAAATGTACAGAACCTTTATTTCTATGTGGTGGCAGTGTCGAGCAACTCCGCCAATCACAATCTTTTTAGTCCTACAGTTAAGATGGACAGTTATCTATCTTGTCTCATAAATGATGTTAATCTCTGATAGGAGGACCCAGCAGCAGGTGGCTAATGCATGTAGGAAGCATTGTGTAGCTACGCTATAAACAACATAACAAGCAGGTTAACACATTCAGAAAAGCTTAAATAACTCGCTGGGAGTTTTGTCTGGGACTCAGTCGCAATGTGAGGTGGAGTAATGAGAGGAGCTGACATTTACATGCTGCTAACTCTGATTGGTACTTTAGCAGATCTGACATCACCTGCACCAAATTTAGTCCCACCAACTCAAATCAAACTGAAGAAAACAGAAAAGACCAACAGCACTCGTTCTCAGCCAGTTTATAGTAAAAACAGCATGAAAACTGCAGAAAACAGCTACAAGAAAATCATGAAAATGAGCAGATGGGGGGCTTTAAATACTGTTTATCTGATGAGGGTAGTGTGGGCTACCAGGTCTTGCAAGGTTGTTAGGAGTCCCAATTTTTCTACGTCTTTTCTGTATCTTGATACATTTTGACCTTTTAGTTTTGGAAACTCCTGTTTTTTCACTTATTTTGTTCGACTTTTGTCATGCCTCTCTTCGGCCTGGCTGAAACTACAGCCAACAGGACTCCAACCCCCAGAACTCCTTGCTGCATCACATGACTCAGGACCCTCACCAATCCACCTATCAGTTGTCCGGAGATGAAGAGCGCTGATTACACTCACACCTGTTCCTTATTTCCTTTGTTTGTTAGTTTAGTATACAAGCCCAGGCTTTAGCTTAGGTTATTTAGAAGTATCGTCACACCTATGTGCATACAGAGCGGTTCTTCTGTGTTCCTGACTGCTTTCCTGTGTATGACCCTGATTCTAGTTGTGCCCTTTTGTTCTGTGTTGGTTTTCTGTTTTTTTCTTTCTGCTTTTGTTTACTGACTGTGATTTTGGACAACTCCATGGGCATTAAAGATCTTAACTCAAGCCTCTGCTGCGGGCGTCTGGTTCCATCTGGCACCGTTACAACTTTCTTCTTCCTTATCCAAGTGGATTACCTTCTGTTTAATCGTGCAAATTGACTGCAAATTAATTATTAGTGGTCCCTGATCTTTGCACAATACAATGGTATATTTCATCAAAAGGTACGTCATCTCAATCTTCCTCCTGTTTTTAAAAAAAAACATGAAGTTTCTCTCGGAAACTCCGCCAAACTGGAACTTTGGCTACAAGCGAAGAGCATCTCAAACATCTGTCTTAACGTAGGAGTCACTTTGATGTGGAGACGATCGTAAACTCATTTTTGGGGGTACAGCAAGCTTCCCCACTATGTGACCTTAATTCTTAAAAAAGGTGGTTCTTCAAGGGTTCTTCAGCAAAACCAGTGGTTCTATATATAGAACCTTGATCACTCAAAGAACAATTCACATGCTCTAATGGTTCTTTGCATGGTGAAATCATGCTTCAAATTGGTGAAAAATGTGTTGTATATGGTTCTACATAGAACCTTTTTGAAAAGGGTTCTACATAGCACCAGAAAGGGTTCTTCTATTGTTACAAGCTTGACATCGTCACAGTAGAAGAACCCTACAGCACATCCTCCATCAATCTGAAGAACCCTTTCATGATGCGAATAACACTTTAATCATGCCAGTGGTTCTTTAAGTGTTCATGGCCCTATATAGAACCACTTTCCTTACTAAAGAACCCTTGCAGAACCATCTATTTTAAGAGTTTAGGGTTCAAGTTAAAATATAATGGTACAGGTGTAAGTGCATAAATACTTCTGCCTCTTTGAAAATGGTTCTGTGTAGCACCAGAGAGGGTTCTTCTATTGTATACAAGCTTGACATTGTAACAGTAGCGGAACCCTTTTTGGTGCCATTTATGGTTCTATGTAGAACCATTTACAACACATTCTCCATCAATCTGAAGAGCTATTTTACCATGCAAAGACCCATTTAAGCATGCAAATGGTTCTTCGAGTGTTCTTGGTTCTATATTCATTGTCTTTACAAAGAACCCTTGAAGAACCATCTTTTTTAAGAGTCTATATTTATCAAAGGCCAATATGTGTTCATCTTAAATCACTATAATTCTTTGATGGATGAAAAGACCTACACAGTTCACATCTAGAACATGGATTGAGCAACAACATTAGCTAAATCTCAGATGTTACACATAACTGAGCCAGTTCTCGTGGCTGGATTACGAATCTTTCTGGAAGGATGACCCACCTTTCCTGAAAAAGACGTTGCCCATCTGGCCATGAGAATCTTTGGCGCCTTCTTTCATGGCATTGAAGGTGCTCTCCTCAGCGATGGTCTGGACCTGATCATCGGTTAAGCTGAAACCTAAGAAGTCTGCCACCCTCTGGACACCTCCGCTCAGGTGCTAATGGGTTAATAGAGATCAGTCACTCCAAAGCCTCACATACGTGGAGTAAATGAGAGGAAGTTCATACCTGCTTGAGTTCCTCGAACGTGATGATCATCACGTTTGGGTCGTCGATACGTTTCTCCCAGGCGAGTGCGTGGTTAAAGTAGGAGCCCCAGGGAACTGAGGAGAGACATGATATGTAAGACCAGTGTGGTGATAGTATAGCTGAGCAGTCAGAGAACCTCCAGCTCGAGGTACTTAACTACAACCTCCACTGAGGAACCGGATGATCCCCAGAGGATCCAAAATGAATGGGTTCCAATGGAGCTTTTGTGCAAAATCATGGTAGCAGTATTGATTACCAATCAGTGCGTAGTAGCAGTAATGCTAACCAATCAGTACTCAGTAGCAGTAATGCTAACCAATCAGCACTCAGTAGCAGTAATGATAAACAATTAGCACTCAGTAGCAGTAATGCCAACCAATCAGCACTCTGTAGTAGTATTGATTACCAATCAGTGCGTAGTAGCAGTAATGCTAACCAATCAGTACTCAGTAGCAGTAATGCTAATCAATCTTTGCTCAGTAGCAGTAATGGTAACCAGTTAGCACTCAGTAGCAGTAATGCTAACCAATCAGTGCTCAGTATCAGTAATGCTAACCAATCAGCGCTCAGTAGCAGTAATGCCAACCAATCAGCGCTCAACAGCAGTAATGATTAGTTATCAGTACTCAGTAGCAGTAATGCTAACCAATCAGCACTCAGTAGCAGTAATGCTAACCAATCAGCGCTCAGTAGAAGTAATGCCAACCAATCAGCACTCAGTATCAGTAATGCTAACCGATCAGCACTCAGTATCAGTAATGCTAAACAATCAGCGCTGTGTTAGTAATGCTAACCAAGCAGCACTCAGTAGCAGTAATGCTAACCAATCAGCACTCAGTAGCAGTAATGCTAACCAATCAGCACTCAGTAGCAGTAATGCTAACCAATCAGCTCTCAGTAACAGTAATGCCATCCAATCAGTACTCAGTGTCAGTAATGCTAACCAATCAGCACTCAGTATCAGTAATGCTAACCAATCAGCACTCAGTATCAGTAATGCTATTGGGTTCTTTAGTAAATAAAATTGTTCTATCAGAACCATGAATGCTCAAAGAGCCCTTTGCATGATTAAATGGTTATTAGCATCATGAAAGGGATCTTCAGATTGATGGAGAACATGTAGTGGCTGGTTCTTTATAAAAGCTTTTCGAAAAGAGTTCTGCATAGCACCCAAAAGGGTTCTTCTATTGTGTCGATGTCAAGCTTGTAACAATAAAAGAACCGTTTCCAAATATATATAGCACCCTAATCCAAGTCTCTAAAGCACCCAAAAAGGTTCTTCTGTTACGACGTCAAGTTTGCAACAATAGAAGAACCCTTTTGGGTGCTATATAGAACCCTTTTCTAAAAGGTTCTATACAGAACCATCTACAGCACAATCTGCATCGATCTTAAGGGGCTGAAATGTGACGGTATAGGTGTTAGTGCGTAATCCCTCTGCCTTTGTACCTTCACCGCTCATAAAATCAGCGTAAAAGCGATCCCAGGACTCCGCGGTCGGCAACACTGGATTCTTATTGGAGAAGTGATAAAACGAGACCATTGTGTCCTTCGGGTTGCGGAAAACAACCAGCATCTAGAACGAAGAACAAGAGTGGATTAGTTGAGCAAGAGCGCAGAGAAATAATAGGCCTTCTTTTAAAGGAACTAGAAGTACCAAAAAGCTGCGTTCACAGTCTGTTCTAATGCAAAAGACTTGCAGTTTTATTGAACGCAAACCTTCGAACACCATTTAACTACCATAACATGTGCTGTTCTGTATGTTCCATGCAAAACAACTACAGCGTCATCACCCCAGGCAAGGTGGGCTTGCAAGCTGTACAGGAAATGATTGCCGTCTTACATAACATGCTCCGCTTATTGCTTTTACTACGGGAAGTCAGTATGGAAATTCTTTGAGCTTGGATGAGAAGTAGTCCAGGGTTTACTGGAACACTGTGCCGTTGATTGCCTCAGCTTTCACCTAGAACTCTTGTACAAGCACAAACCTTGGTCTTCTTTTGGTAGAAGGAGGCTGGAATGTTGTCAGGATGCATATGGGTCCCCAGTAATCTCGGAGATGGGGCCTTCTGGAGGCACTGCGAAGGCACAGCAGACACAAATAATGAGTGGGAGGGGAAGAGGAGTAACCGTACCCTCAAACCATACTTCACAGCATGGACAGCTGGGGTTCAATGTTTAGAGTTCAAGCGCATACGTGACCAGGAGATGGTCACAGGTTCAAGCCGCGCTGACATAAAACAAGGCCGTAACCCGGTTTGAAAGCTTTTTTACGATTTATTACACAAATTTGCTAGCTTGGAAGAAGAGCTGTAAAGGCCTAATGTACCTTTTTCCCACCTATCACAACCTTTCATTACGGTTTTATGGACGAATCGCACCACAAGGCTTCGTGACAGAACCTTTAATGACAGTTAAGCCTGAGAGAATTTACAGAAACTGGCTAACAACATGATTGGAGCACCAGCAGTCTCTCATGTAATGTACACTTTGAAATGGAAAGAAATGATGGTTTGAGACGTGTGGTTCTAGGAGAAGCCTTTAACTGGTATAGAACCTCTACATTTTGTGGAAGTTCTTCAAACTTTAACCCCTTAAATGCTCAGTTTTTTACTGTCCATTTGGATTGGAAACCATGTCACAAAGGTTTCAGGGCTTAAAAAGATGCTTAAAATATTAGGATCAGCTCCAAAAGTCAGTACGTACATTTACACAGTTGAGCTAATACTAAATAACACTTTTCCTTTATGATTTCTCGGATTTTCCTTTATTTATCCTGTTTCATAGTTGCTCTGCATCTGTAAAACAGCTGATTTGAGAAACAATTTTTAATATAAAACCATATTTTTAAGACGTTTAACTAAGGAATTTGTATAAAACAGATACATGTTTACCTTTTATATCATTAACGTTGTACTACATTTAAAATGATGTATTTTATTTTAAAAAATCATTTATCACAGAGATTGTGGTCACTGCTGTTATCAGGACTCTTATTTTACATTTTAACACAGTATTTTCAGCTCTATTAAACTGCTTCTTTGGGTCGAGGCTCATCAGAGAGGAAGTATCTCAAATCATGAGAAGGCGAGTCACACTCGCTCACTATATTTCATTAATTTATTAACAATTTTGTTTATCAGGCCGCAAATAATTTCTATTTGTCACCTGTGTTTTGTGCTTTTATGGCTGGATTATTAAAATTTTGTCAAAATAATGTCAAATATATAATTTGTATTACTGATTGCAAATACACAAGGTCACCTGACCACTAATGAGTCAGCCAGTTTACAGAATCCTTAGTTTTAACCAGAATGTGAGTAGAGTCACCGTTACTGGTGTTACACCATATTCATACAACACCAGTGACTATAAAATATGTTTGGAATGAAGCTCTCCTTTCTGCATATATGATAATAGGAGATGTTAATGGACGTACTAACATTACTAAGTTTTGGGATGAAAGAAATCCACCTGAATTCCCACTCCAAATGGAGAATGACCCAAATATATTTCTATAACCTAATAATACCTCAGACAGTTTGCACGGAAGTCCCTGTGGTTACTGAATAATAAGCCTTAGTATGTAATAAGCCTGAGATTTCAAGGCGTTAAACAGGTTTAGAAAAATAAGAGCCTTGTAATAAAGTTCCTTGTGAAGTTTTATGCTTCCCCCTCAATTTTGTGCCATCTGGTGTTGGGCAAAGCCAGTAAATCGTCAGTTGCGACATCCAGTATGATTCGGCAGAGGCGCTTACAGGCTTGCGCACTCAATCTGTCGCCATAATGGGGAAAAACACTTTAGTCACATCTTTCTTACCTGCAGCATCTCTGGGCCGAAGAATTCTATCAGAGGAGGCATCTTGGATTCCACTTTTACTCCGGTGGCGGCGGACATGATTTTACGCAGCACTGCCACCATCCAGTTGAAACCTGTGGTAGAGAACCATCACCACATTCATCCTCACCATCATTTCTTGTATGTTAGATACTAAGCTAGCATCACCATATAAAAACCAATACGTAGTAGCAATAGCGTTTTTTGGAAGGGGGGGGGCATCAACATTTATGTTCTCGCCATCATTTCTTGTCTTGCTAAACAGCTAGCAAAGCTAGCATCCAAACAGAAATCTGCCGTGAAAGTTTGAATAATAATACAACCATTTTCTTTCCACAGTGAACTGTTCATGGTACAAATGGTGTTTTTAGAAGGGGTGAAGGCTGATAAAAGGAGCTTGACGTCAACATTTACATTCCCGCCATCATTTCTTGTCTTGCTACACAGTAAGCAAAGCTAGCATCCAAACAGAAATCTGCCTTGTGTTTCAATAACAATAAAAACCACTGTGTTTCCACAGTGAACTGTTCAAGGTAGGAGTGGTGTTTTTTGGGGGTGGGTTTTGATAAAAAAGAGCATAATTTTCATTCTCATTTCTCATCTTGCTAGATATTTAGCAAAGCTAGCATCACCACAGAAAATTGCCTGTAAATAATAATGAAAAACACAGGCCACTGACATTCATCCTCCGCAGTCGTGTTATTTGAAAGGGTGGGGGCAGAGAAAGAGAGCTTCATATCAACATTTACATTCACACCATTATTTCTTGGCTTGCTAGATAGTTAGCATAGCATCCCCACACAAAAAAAGGGCCACTGCCATTTACTGTCCACATTCAACTACGTAGTAGCTATAGTGTTTTTTGGCAGGGGTAGGGACTGATAAAAAGAGCTTGACGTCAACATTTACATACTTGCTTTCATCTTTTGTCTTGTTAAACAGTTAGCAAAGCTAGCATCCAAATAGAAATTTGCCTTATTCGAATAACAATAAAAAAAAATCCTTTCTGCAGTGAACTGTGCAAGGTAGCAGTAGTGTTTTTTTGGGGGTGGGTTTTGATAAAAAACCCGAGCATCATTTTCATTCTCATTTAGCAAATCTAGCATAATCACAGAAAATTGCCGGTAAATAATAAGGAAAAACACAGGCCACTGACATTTATCCTCTGCAGTCGTGTTTTTGGGAGGGTGGGGGGCTGATTGACGTCCATTATTTACATTACTACCATTTCTTGTCTTGCTAGATAGTTAGCAAAGCTAGCATCCTCACATAAACATGCCACTGCCCTTTACTCTTCGCAGTCACTCAGTATTGTTTTATTTGATGGTGGGTAGGATTCCAATAAAAAAAGATCACATCATCTTCATTCTCAACATCATTTCTTGTCTTACTACATAGTTAGCAAAGCTAGCAACCCCACATATTCAAAACCACAGGCCATTGCTATTTACTCTCCAGTCAACTGTACATGTTGGGGAGATGGAGAGGTGCTGAGCTTGACATCATTATTTACATGCTAAATACATTTGCTATATATTTAGCAGAGCTAGCAAGCCCACAGATATTTGCCTTGTGTTAAAAAACAGGGCTTTGCTATCCTCCACAGTCAGCTGTACCAAGATCTGGGGTCTTTTTTGTTTTTTTTGTTTTTTTTGGGGGGGGGAGGTGTTGGGCTGATAAAAAGAGTTTGAGATCATCATTTATTTTTTCCGGTCTTGCTAGATAGATAGCAAAGCTAGCATCCCTACAGAAACCTTCCTTGCTTGAATAATAATAAAAAAAAACACATGCTGTTGCCATTTACCATCCTCCACAGTCAACTGTGCATAGTATCAACAGTGTTCTTGGGGGGTGGGTGCCCATAAAAAAGGGTTGACATCTGTTACAGTTAAAGCGAGTGCGTGTCTGTACCACAGCGGGCCCCCATCTTCCAGTGGAGGTCAAACAGCTCTGCATCCCCCAGGCGGGCCCCACGTGTGAGGGGCCCACTCTGGACCGCCAGTGCCGGGAGGCCCCATGTTTAATTTGACATTCCCCACTGGCTCTTATCTGTCATCTCCGCACTGTGAGCTAGTCGCAGTCAGCGACCCTAGCATACGGATCACATTCCTCAAACTTATAGACTAGACGCACAAAAACACACATTAGGAGGATCTGAAGATCTAAGAATATGTAATAGTAGTCTTTGTTTAGTAGCTTAAAGACCAATAAAACATAGCTTTTCTCACGATTTACCATCCATGCTTCTTTAAATATAATAGATATTATGCTTTTACAAATAAACCTTGGTAAGTAGACTTGAGGGTGTGGTAAATTAAGGTAAATGTAAATTATAATTGCTAATTGCTTGGTGGTTTGACAATCTTGCATTAGTTTTCAGATGAAAATACATATATTTAACTATATAGCTTGGTTGTGGCTAATTTCTATGGTGGTTTCTCTGGTGCTGCTGGCTGATTGCTAGGGTGTTGCTGTGTGGTTGCTAGGTGGTTGCTATGGTCTTGCTAAGTGGATGCTAGGTGGTGGCTATGATATCCCAGGGGGTTGTTATGGTGTTCCTTTGTGGTTGCTAGTTGGTTGCTATTAAGATGCTAGGTTGGTGCTATGCTATCACAAGTGGTTGCAATGGTGTTGCTGAGTTGGTGGTCCACTGCCATCTTAAATTTCCTGCTACCTTAACTTCGCTGCTACCTTAAGTCTCCTGCTACCTTAAATCCACTACCACCTTAAATCCACTACCACCTTAAGTACACTGCTACCTAAAATCTCCTGCTATCTTAAAAGCGTGTGTGTGTGCGCTTGTGTGGTGTGTGTGTGTGTTTGGTGTGTTATGTGTAGTGTGTTCAGTGTGTGTGTGTGTGTGTGTGTGTGTGTGTGTGTGTGTGTTAGTGTATTTGTATTATCGAGACACAAGAAAGGTGGCAAGACTTTTGCACTCCATTCATTCCTATGGGAAAAAAATCTGCAAATCCGTCAGAAAAATAAGAATAAAAGAGAAGAAGAATATAAAACGAAGAACAATATAGTTGCGCGTGGCTTTGCAATGAACAACCATTACAATAGTCACATTATAAATGTACTTAATTCATTGACGTGATTCAAATAAATCATTTCCATGTTTATTTGCCAAAGGTAAACAAATGTGAAAATGATGTACTTGGTTTAATCAAGGCCAATGTTTGCGGCATGCCTTGGCTACCAGCACTGAATTCTCTGAAATGTATTAATAGGTCTTTCTTTATGACATTTCAGGTCAGGTGATGATAATTGGACGTCATATACACACTAAATTCCCCTGATGTAAAAAGAGCTTCATGTCTTATAATGTAGCAGGCATTTCTCTCAGCAGTGAAACCATTCAACATTCCTGGGTTAGAGCAAATCACCGCTTCAATAGATTGTTTCATCCCATGTCAAAAACCATTTCCCAGTGACTTCTTACAGAGGTTCACAGCCTGTCCCAAATCAGCCAGCATGCTTTTCACTCACCGCATTTTGGATAGGCCACCAGCATTATGTCATCGGCTCTGGCCTCTACAGTCTCCAGAGCTTTGAGGTTCTCCTCTGGGCTCATGATCGCTGGATACAGGACCCCATTATACCTGTAGAGCTTCTCCTCCTCCTTCATTTTCTTGGCCACCTCCATCCTGGACTGGATCCTGGCTTGCAAAGTGGAGTTCATGCTTGCGTCCTGTCCCGAGGCTCCCGTAGCCCTCTGAGCCTGCGTCCCCGGCCCCTGGTCCATCTGTTTATGCAGCTGGATTTCCATGAACTGCGCTTTCTCAAAGTGGGTGTGTGAGAGGAGCATGGCATGTGCTAGTGGGTGTGCGGTAGGAGGAGGAGGAAGAAGAAAGTAGATCCCTCCTACCCCACATGGAATTAGCGTGAGAAGCGGGTGGTTCCCGGTTGCCAGTGGAGACGTGCGGACGAGCTTGTTTCCTGCCCGTGATGGTGATTAATTGACTGCCAAAATGTTTACAAGCTGGTGCACATAATGCTTATGTGTGTACATTCTTGGAAATATAGCCTATTTGGGCAGTTCTTTAGGGTGCTGCCATACAGGAACCACTGTTGGTTCCCAATGTATGGTTCTGTAAGGGGACATTTTTGCAAATAAGCAGTGCTGAGGGCAGTGCGGTACAAAGTAATGCTTTACATTAACCCTTTATATGACCAGGGCCCATCGGCAGGCCCCAAGTTTTATTACACACTTCTATAACCTAAGAATAGCTCAGTCAGTTTGCATTGATGTCCCTGTAGTTACTGAATAATAAGCCTTAGTATGTAACAAGCCTGGATTTTAGGGGGTTTATATAATTACTTCTTCCTGTTATGAAGTGGTGTAACACATTACAGCTTAAGTTCTTGTAATCACAACATAAGCACTGACTTAATAAGAGTTTCATTACTTGAGAGAACGAGTGAAACACAAAGCATTTCACATGTGAATTTTGCAAATTGCTGGAAATCTCCAAAATGATAACTTTACAGGAGAAGGAAAAACATATGTTACCTTTAATGTAAGTCAATGGAATCAGACGTTTTTCCTTGCCATTTTGGGCCATTTAATTTGTTCCATTCATCATGAAATTTACACACAATATAAAGAGCAACATGAACTTTCAGAGTATGCCAAAAAATGAAAAATGACAAATATAGAGCTTCCATGTTATACTGAATTGTGCATGACCACTTGGCGGTCTCACTCTTCCAATGATCGACCAGGCGTGCTCCTGCTTTGTTGGTATGAGAACCTCCAGCCATTCCAGCCTTTTGTGGGTAAGACTGGACACTCCAATCTAACCACACTATAGAACTGATGGATAAAATCCCCCCCTGTCCTGAGGAAGAGATAAATTCCCTGACCCCAGATAACAAAGCCATTGTTGTGAAATCAACTTTTTCTTAACTGAGTCCAAATTGATTGTTTTTCAACTCAAACTTTCAGACACTCCTGTTACTGCACTAAAAGCTGTCCTGCTTCATCTACTGTAAGGATTTCTTACACAGTCAGCCGGCTTGTTGAACCTGAAATGTAGATTCCAAACGGAACTGACGGGACCTGATGGGCTTAACCGCTGCATAATTATCACAACAAAGGTCCAGGCCATGGGAGGTCCAAGTTGGGGGAACAAATGGTGTATCTACATATCTTTTTGTCTTTTTCGAGGTCTGCTCTGTTTTGCTTGTTTTTTTATCTACCTTCAGGGCTGTATCTGCAGTAGCTGTAGATTTACGCCCATAGTTTCACTCCAGACTGACACCTTGTTAACAAAGTCCTTGTAGGAAAATTGAGCATTACGAGCGTCACATTCATGTCTCAACCAGTGGCCGGTCTCCTTATTTATAACGTCTCTGATGTGAACAGTGACGGTCTGTGCTGGCTGTATGTGTCGCCATGCATATTACCATTCAGAAAGGAATTCCGTTCCTAATATATGAAATTATGATTTTGATGAAAAATCAACAGTAGATCAGTGTCACTCTGCTATTCCGGGCCTCAACTAAACAGGCCGAACTTGGTTCCTTCAGGACCAGCTCTGAAAACTTTACATTTCACTCAGAGAGATTTTACTCACCGGTTTCTATTGGCTAGTTTCCGGCTATTCAGGACTGCAGTGAAGCGTAACTGTCCATGTCAGCATAGTTGCATGTATGTTAAATGTTGTTTTCTGTGGTTATTTATTCTCAAATAAAGTACTGGGTTCGTTCTCCATTTGGAGGGGAAACTGTGTCACAAAGGTTTCAGGGCTTAAAAAAATGCTTAAAATATTCGGCACAGCTCCAAAAGTCCACATAAGCTGTATATAATACAACATTAACCCAGCGTAAATTCATTACAAATTTACTGGAAACTCATCAAAAACGACTGAAAGGTTGATTAGCCCAAAACTCGCTAAGAAAACCCAAACAAGTGTCGGCACACGCGCTGAATGCCACTGGCTTTAACCTGATGGTGTGAAACTGTGGCCCTGCAGACGGATATTATTATGACGACATGATTCCTAATGGCGTAATTGAGCACTATGAATCAGCAACTTAGCAAAATCCTTTGCACAACATAATGGAACTTACGAAGGATTCTGTGAGGTCATGACAACATACTGACCACGTTGTGGGCAAGAAAACAGTAGGTGGTCACAAAGTTCCCACAATGAGCGCAATAAACGACGAGTACATAGTTCATTTCCACTAGTTAGCAGATGGGGATGGTTTTTCCACCGTAACAACCGTGGGGGAGGGTGGGGCACATTTTGTTTTTTGTTGAATAACCTTAAAAATATTCAAGTTGAAATAATCCTGTTTTTATACAAGCAACATCTACATCTCTGCTACAAACGAACACTTGAACTTTGTTACTAGCACCTGCCGTTCATGTACAATTCCACCCAAAATGCTGGGAAGTGCAGTGTTCCAGTTCAGCCCATGGGTGGGTTCAGTGTAACAGACGGAGGGTCAGTTTAACACCTGAGAGAAAAGTCTGATCAAGTTAATTCAATATAATTCTATGGTGTAAGCAACAAATGTATTTTCTAACCAAACTGCAATTTATATTGTATAAGACAGACAGACAGATCAACTGATACACACACACACGTCAAATTATATGTGAACACATATAATTTCTTAATAACTACAGCTTTACCAGCTGTTAACATCAATTTCATTAATATAGTAAAACACTGACATCTGAGAGACACTAATAAAGCCAAAGGAAATCCCTGTTTTCAGATGTTTTCACTTTTTCAGCTTAAAATCTGTGTAAACAAATGGAATAAAAAGACTAAATTGACTTTCTTTGTCTTAGTTTACCGTTCATCCAACACAACGTTACAGTCTCGACCAAAATTATGATTTAGATGAAAAATCAACAGTAGATCAGTGTCACTGTGCTATTCGGGGCCTCAACTAAAAAGGCCGAACTTGGATCCTTCAGGACCAGCTCTGAAAACTTTACATTTCACTCAGAGAGATTTTATTTCACCGGTTTCTATTGGCTAGTTTCCGGCTATTCAGGACTGCAGTGAAGCGTAACTGTCCATGTCAGCATAGTTGCATGTATGTTAAATGTTTTCTGTGGTTATTTATTCTCAAATAAAGTACTGGGTTCGTTCTCCATTTGGAGGGGAAACTGTGTCACAAAGGTTTCAGGGCTTAAAAAGATGCTTAAAATATCAGGCTCAGCTCTAAAAGTCAGTGTGTACATTTACACAGTTGATCAAGATTAAATAACACTTTTCCCTTATGATTCTCTGATTTGTCTTTTTTATCCATAGTCGCTCTGCATCTGTAAAACAGCTCATCACAAAACCAATTTTCAAACCATTTTTAATATAAAACAATATTTTTAAGAGATTTAACTGAGGAATTTGTATAAAAAGATTAATGTGTACTTTTTATATCATTAATGCTATACTACGTTTAAAAAAATGTATCTTATTTAAAAAACTAATTTGTCACAGAGATTTTGTTCACTGCTGTTATCAGGACTCTTATTTTACATTTTAACAGTATTTTCAGCTCTGTTAAACTGCTTCTTTGGGTCGAGGCTTATCAGAGAGAAAGCGTCTCAAGGCATGAGAAGGCGAGTCACACTCGCTCACTATATTTCATTAATTTATTAATCATTTTGGCAGCTCAGAACCTCGATGTGTCACTGCTGTTTTGTGCTTTAATGGCTGGGTGATTAAAATTTTTTTCAAAATAATGTCAAATATATCATTTTTATTACTGACTTTAAATACACAAGGTCACCTGATCAACCAATGAGTCAGCCAGTTTACAGAATCCTCAGTTTTACCCAGAATGTCACTGGAGTCACCGTTACTGGTGTTACACCATATTCATACAACACCAGTGACTGTATCGTATGTTTGGAGTTAAGCTCTCCTTTCTGCATATATAGTAATAGGAGATGTTAAGTTAGGAGATTATGTAGTTTTAGGATGAAAGAAACTGATTTTTTCTAAATGTATCCACCTGAATTCCCACTCCACATGGAGAATGATCCACTGAAAGAATGCTGGGGGGTTTTTCTCGTAACTACACTGTAAATGAGATGTCAGAATGTGAATAACCTCATCACCTTGTGCAAACTAGGAGCGTCCAAAGTCTGACCACAGGGCCAAATGTGGTCTGCGGACTGATTGTAATCAGCCCTCCTATATGTTGCAATTGTTCTTTTCACTTGACAGGGCAGCAGTACTGTAAACATACACTTCATTTACCTTTCATTTACTACTAATCTTTAATTTACTGAATTTAATCATGATACACACAACCGCCGGCAATTTAAACAGTGATCGAACACTTATTGATCGAGGCGTGTAACAATTTAGTGTTAAAAGACGTTACGAAAACCAGCATCACAATAAATATTCAGGGGGACGAGAAGGCAAAACAACTAAAGCAGCTTTTTATCACAACAAATTCAGTAGTTTGTACAATAAAGATTTCTTGTTCCGTACGTTTGTGTTTTCCGTTTGTCAAAAACAGAACATTTAAAATAAATTATGGATAATATTCTGGCAAATAATGTATTTTGATAGGGTCCAGTCTGGCCCCCTTTGAAAAACCTCATGTAAAGGGTCCTTTTTCTGATTTTCCTATGCAAGAATCGATTTCTACCTCATTTAATAGTGGAGATATCTTTGCAGTGCTAACCAGCAGCGAGTATTAGCTTCATTTATTGACAAGCAAAGACAGTCTTCAAATTAAAAACTGAATAATGAGCCTTCAATAAGCTGTACAGTATACCAATTTGGTCATAC